CTTTTTTTATTAAGTAGATAGTCTAAAACGTTGACAAACGTCTCATTTCTTTTCTGACAAATCTAACTTAAGATCTAATGGCTTGTCATATCCCATAATCTTAACGTAGTGCTGAGGATCTTCAAATAATTTTGGGTCAACAAACAAAGCTGCTGGTTTCTTTCCAGATTTATTTTTAACAACGAATGATGTGAACATTCCTGTAACTTCTGGTACAACAACGTCTTCAGGTTTAAAAATTGTTTTCTTTTTTGTTAAAAAGAATGAAATTGTCGTTGCATTATATTCATCTGTTTTTGGATTATAATAAAGTTCAGTCACATATCGTCTTGTTACAACATGAAGTAGAAATGGAGTAACAAATGTGAAGAACCCTACGAAGCCGCATATAGCTGCAATGACAGGAGTTGAAGTGCTCATTTGAGCAGCTTGATTATAGAGAATGGGTTGTGCAATGATTCCAACTATGCTGGTAGTTAAAGAGAATACTTTGACTGATTTTATGTTTGGTGTAAGGGACCCTAAACACAAAGAATTAAAGATTAATAAATTAATAAGAAATGAAACGCAATCATGAAACTTGCCATAATAAACTCTGAATTCATCTGAAGTTGCTTGATGATTTTTCATTTGCTGAGTAAGCGATGACGAAATATGCATCGACTTCCATAATTTATGTTGATTTAAAGCATTGATTGGTTGTGATTTCGAGATATTCACAATTTTAATTAAATTTCTTGTGCAAAACATTTTTTATATTCACAATGATGCAAAACTGAAAAGAAGCGAAATCGGAATGAAAGATGCAAACGCGTTGCTTGTCATCATTTTGTTTACAAAAATAAATTTTGTTCATCATTAAATTTTAACTTTGAATTACAAAATGTTTACACTTTGGTCACTATTAGAAGCTACGCTACTTTGTTTAAATGCTGTCTGTGTTCTACACGAGGAGAGATTCTTGTCAAAATGTAAATAACTAAAATTTCATTAACATTTTTCTAAAAGTTCCAACTCATAATAATTTTTTAACTAACTTTTTAAGTTGGATGGGGCGTATCTAATATACAACAGCAAGGCTTTGAACCGCCAACAATGAAATCTCAAGCACTCAACCTAGTAAGATCTATAAGAACAGTTGTCAAAAGTAAGTATTAAACATATTTTGTTTAAACAAATTTTTGGGTGACTTTAGTTAATTTGAATAAGTAAATCTAAAGCTATGTATGTAGCGATATTACATTAATCAATAAATTATGTTGCTTTTGGAGTTACTTCAGGACACTTGATAATTAATAACTTAAAAATTATGAAATACATTCTAATAAATGTTTCTTTCTTCTATTTCTTTTTCACAGTTCCGCTGATATTCTTCAACATATTTGCGATTATATTAAAATTGCTATTTGGTTGAATTGTTTTTTAATAAAATAATGTTTCTTATTAATTTGGTAAATAAAAGAAGTTTAATTTTAAATTCAAATAAATCAAAAGAACTTGTTAATTAGCGAGACGTCTTGTCATTCATCATTCATAATGACTTCATCATTCAAATCTAATTCTGACGAAAATTGAATAAATTATTTATCACAAATCAATGAACTTCAATGCTTGTTACACGTTGCTGTGATTTACAACTTTTTTCGCCGGTTGTATTATGTCAATGAAAACGACAATGGAATTAAATCATTTCATTGCGACACACGTTGACTATTCGTTTTCATTCATTTCCCCTCTCAATATTTACTTTCCAATGGAAAACGGTGGAGGGAAAATTGATTGTTCGCAGTCGGAAAAATCGATTTTCTTTTTTCGATTGCGATGAAACCAGAAAAATTCACATCACATCGCGTAAATTAATTAAAAAAGCGTGTTAAAAACGTTTTCGAATTTCAAGAAATACTCAACAGATATTGCAGTGGCAATGAGAATCATAAACAGTTGTTTTCACGGGCAAAAATCAGCAGCGTCGCTACAAAAAATATAAATCATTTTATCATTGTGATATCGTCTGGTCTAGTTTCAATTTTTCTTTCTTTATAAAAAAAGTGATTATGAAAAGAATTCCAATAAGATAAGAAAGTTAAAGCACGTTCAGTGCGGTTAGTTTTGTGGAAAAGTACCTAATAAATTAATCTTAAGATCATTTTTAAGAAAAGAGAAAAAAATTAAACGACATAAAAATGCAGACATTACGAAAGAAGACATCGCCTTTAAAATGTAAGTGAACAGGGAATTGAAAAACTCAAATCAAGGAAAAATTGATTTTGTTTTATCCTCACATTTGTTCATTCTTCAAATAAATAAAATAAAATAAAAACTCAATGTGAATTTCCTAAACAGAACAAAAAACAAAAATGTAATTTTCCTAGGCCGTTCAAAAATTCAATGTCATTGCGTTACGTAGATTTATTTGAAGAGCATAAGTGAGTGATCAGAATCAAAATGAAAATCCGTTCAATCCAAAAGTTGTAATTTAATGAATTTGTGGCAGAAAATATGCTTGATGATTATAATATATTCCTAACATGATGTAAGCGTACAAGGATTCAGAAACTTTTAAGTAGTTTCAGCCAGTCATTAGCGTTCTATCGGATATTAATATTAATATTAATCTTTCTAAAGCTTTCATACTTTACTTGGAATAGACTCTGAAATATTTAGTAGAATTTATTCTGTCCGTCTGTCAAATGTTCCATGGGAAAAGCGCTTTTTCCAACATGTTTGCAAACATTCTCACATCAAATTTGTATTTTTTAAAAAGAATTCTTTTAAACAATTGATTTTTGCATTATTCAGTGTAATAAAAGCAGTGGCACAAGAAAATGCTACGCTTGCAAGGATCAACTCACAAATAGTATTTACAATGCTAAGTTTATTAAATCCCAAGAGTTGTATGAAGTTTGTTGTGTGCAAATCGAAGCAAAAATTTTATTTTTAAGTTATTGATACATTTTTAAAAGAAAAAGATGAAACCAGCGGAGGAAAAGTGTAGGTTTACAAGCAAAATATTTACTGCAAAATTATATCTACGTGCAATTATGAAAATTAGTAATTTAATACAATTTTCTTTCTTTGCATTCCAACGACTCTTTAGATCGCAATGAACCCGCAAGATTCTTCGGTGATGGAGTAATTTTCAAGGCCAAACTCATTGGAATTCTAGAGGTTGGTGAGGCGAGAGGTGATCGTATGTGTCAAGAAGCGTTGCAAGATTTAAAGATTGCAATAAGGGCAGCAGGCGAACACAAACAAAGAATCACAATTCATGTTACGATTGAAGGATTAAGATTACGAGATGAGAAAACAGGCGTAAGATTTATTTTCATTGGTGAAAGGAGAGAAAATTTGTTTACTAAAATTTATTAAGTAGTGAAAAAAACGCTCATTCAGTCAATCAAAATCATTGAGTCAAACAAACGTCTTTCCTTTCAAAGCCAATAACCTTCATTTAATGAAAAGCAAACAAATTTCTTCATTTTTCATTGTAGGAATCACTTTATCATCATCCCGTTCATAAAATATCGTTTATTGCCCAAGATATGACTGATTCAAGGGCATTTGGATACATTTTTGGATCACCAGATTGCGGTCATCGTTTCTTTGGAATAAAAACAGACAAGGCAGCTAGTCAGGTAGTGTTAGCGATGCGTGATCTCTTCCAATGTGTTTTTGAACTGAAGAAAAAAGAAATCGAACTCGCTAAGCAACATATTCAGAATCGCATCACAGCACATGAACATCAGCAAGTAAAAAATTCAATTTTGGATCATAAAAAGCCATCCACAAATTTGTTAAACGAAGCAAAATCCTCAACTGCGAAAGTAGAAAAATCACCGGAAGCAACTGCTAATCTTGTTGATTTGGAACAAGAGTTAAGTTCAATTCAACGTGGCATTACACAAATGGAACGAATCACGCCTAATGATGATGCGCCAACCAGAAATGTTTTAGATGACGATCCATTTGGCGACTCGTTTACAAGTTTCTCATCGACACCTTTCAACATTTTACCACCACCAGCATCATCAAAGAGAAATCAACAAGTGAAGCAGAGTAGCGATGACACATTAGCCGAATTATCTTCAATTATGAGTAAGTCCGCAACACCTCCGATTCCCCCATTTCCATCATCATCATCATCGTCAGTTGTCCAACAGCAATCGAACAATGACTCGTGGTTGAACTCATCCTCAACAGTGTTTGATGACCAAGAGACGAGTGGAAACTTTAACGATCAAACATCTTTCGATGACAGTAACAATGCTAATTTAAGTTCCACTAAAAAAGAAATAATTGATGCATTTACAGATTTAGATCCTCTAGGAACCGGCAAATCAAAGCCATACGTTGACAAGAAATTTTTCTTCCAAGACTTGAAAAATCCACCAAAGAAAGTCTTACGTGACTTATCGGAGCCGGAAAGTATTTTTGATGCGCATTTCTCGCCTCATCGGCGTCCGAATGCGGCATTGAGCTTAGACTCAAGTGGGGGATTCGAGAGGTCGTCAACTTCTGCTGGTGCTGCTGTTGATCCATTTGAGGAAGAAGACTTCTCGAAGCTTAACATTGAACAGTTTGAGACAACAAAATCGGTTTCACCAAAGTCCATTATTTTACCAGACACAAAAATTTCATCGTCATATGATGAGAAGACAAAAGTAGGAGGAGGAGGAGGAAGAAGTAGTAGCGGAGGAAACGAAAGAAAGCGAAGTGACGGTTCATACAGTGCACCGTTACACGTCGATTTACCACCAGAATCATGGACATCTTCGTCATATTCGGATCCAAAGCGATATGAACGTCAAGGATCTGATGGATCGTCAAAAAATGTTTTCTCAGTCGATTCCTTCTCAAAGAAACTTCCGATGCCGAATCTTTTCGGACAGCGCAATGTTAAACGTGACTCGAATGGAATAAATATGCGGAGACTACAGGAAAGTGATTCATTGAGTGAGAATGAACCTGAATTACCGCCAAGACCTGACACGGGATCTCATGAGCCGCCGCCATTACCGCCAAAGAACCATCGAGATTCTTATGCTGAAAATCGTTACAAGTCACGATATGACTATTCAAGTCGCTTTAAAACGCAGTCAACAGACTCACCGCCATTGCCACTTCCGAGTAGGAGAATTAGTTCCAACTATTCGTCAACTTCAAGGCCTTTTAAGAAATCTAATGAAGAAGAAGATTATTTGACGCCCATGCCTGGAGGTGGTGACATTCCAACTCTCCTTCCACCACCACAAAAGAAAGATCATTCAAAGAGTCGTGGCTCGAGAAAGTCTGAAACTGATCCAAAGAATCTTGATGCGCCGACGCCGCCATATTCGACGAAATCACATGAAATGCCAATCACAACCCCACCTATTTTGCCTGACATCACGTTGAGTCAATTATTAACGTTAGGAATCGATGACCTCGCCCACAAACTAAACGTTCCGACGTCCAAGTTGAGCACAATGACAATTGTTGAGCTGACTAAATATTTGTCGGAGTTTATTGAGAAGTCGAAGCAGCAACCAATTGAATCTCCAGTCAATGATTCGCCAGTGTTTAAAGTCAGTTTTGATGATAATTCTGATGCGACATTTGTTGCGAAGTTTGATGATAATTTCGGTGAAAGTGAAGTCAATGAAGATAATTCATTTGTAGCAAATTTTGAGAACTTTAATCAGCCGCCAATCTCAGTGATTCCCACAGCTGATCGTTATGCTGTTTTTCGTGAAATTATTGATCAAGAAATGCAACAAGAACAGAGACAGGATGAAGTTCAGCAAGAACCTCAACATCAGGAATCAATTGAATCAACAAATAATTCAAATTCATTGGAAGACGCGCCTGAAAGTTCATTTGAGTATGCAAGGGAGATGGAAAGCGGCTTCAGTCCAGTGATGGACAATCAAATCAAACAAAAGTTTGATTCGAAAATTGCAGATGCCATTTCAGGTGCGAAAGATCGTTATGCAGCTTTACGTGATATAATTCTAGTCGAAGATTTATTTGATAAAACGGCGATGCCGCCATTAGCTTCGATCTCCGATTCAAATTTGAGTGACGATCCAGATGATGTTGAACCTGCTTTTGATACAGCAACAGCAGAAGTTGCTGACAATAATTCAGCTGACAATGTCCCAACTTACAGCATTTCCTGGGCTGATGCTGAAGCAATGCCAGCAGAAAATTTCGATCAACAGCAACAAGAAGTGAATGACGATCAACAACAGAAAAGTTTACAAATTATTTCGACAAGCAATAAAGATGATTTAGAGATTAATGAGTACATGAGAAAAGCGATTTCTGAGTTGTCATTGGATCAACGATTGTCGCCAAACATTCAAAACAAGTCCCCAAGCATTGTTGGTGATAAAATTCCTGCTTCACCTTCGCCATCGCAACTCAAGCCATCAACATCACCATTGCCAATTCCTGCAAAACCACACATCAACGATGAGTCAATCAATCAAAAATCTTCACCAGCACCACCAGAGAATGAAGAAAACATTGAAAAACTTGAAGATATTAGAGGTAAGAATGAAGATTTCTGGTTGATCGAATAACAAAATAATTTTTTACAGAGAAAACAATTACACCGCACGACATGAAACCAGTAGAATCATCAGAATCGTGGGCAGTATTTGAACAAGAAGAAACAAAAGCTACAAAAGAAAAGTCAACAACACCAACGAATGTCGCAAAGTCACAAATAGAACGTGAATCACCTTACTCGTCAGATGGTAAGAATGAGTATAAACAGCGTGAAAAAGAATATCACCGTCGTTGGCCAAAACCACCACACACATCATCGTCATCGAGAGATGTCAGTCCATGGGATGAAGATGCACCGCCAGCACCACCACCCCAACAATCATCAGCCGGTGATTATCGTCGCAGACCGCGACCACATCACCATGAATCATCAACTCATCATCATCATCATCATCATCCACATCATCATGATCGTTACACTCGACCACCAGGTCCACGACGTCGCATTAATTCATGTGATGAAGAATTTGATGATGAATACGATCGACGACCTCCACCGCCATCTCGTGGTCGGACGGCGAAACCTCCAATGATGCATCGAAGTAAAGAAATTCTTGATTCTGAGAATCCAAGCTGGCATTATAATGAGAATTGGTCGGATGAAGAAGTCATTGATGATCGTGGACGTAGTGGATTCGATCGAAATGCATATGAACGAAGCACTTATGGTCCACCATATGATAAACGTGATCCTAAGAGCTTCCCATATGACAGACGTGACTACAAAAATTACGAAAAGCGATCGAAATATTATCGTTCAAGTCGAAATGATTACGATTATGATCCATATGAGTTGCCACCACCTTCTGCTGGTAGTCGTGGAAAGTTGTCAAGGAAAGAATTCGATGATTATGAAGGAAACTTTGAGCGTGGATCACGTGATAGTCGAAGTGCACGTGAATATTTTTATGATCGTGATAGAAAAAGTTTTGATAGTAATGAATCTTACGATAGTGGTCGTGGACATAGAATGGGTAGTGGTGGAGAAATTGGAGGTAGCTATGAATATCGAAATGCGCCACAAAATCGGTCACTTCGACGAGGTCAAAGATCTCGTGGTCCGCTTGAAGACGAAGAAGATTCAGATGAAGAAGTTCCTGTGAGACGAACATCTGGTGATACTGGAAGTTTACAAAGATCGTCAGGAATGGTTGGTGGTCCGAGATCAAAGCATATTCAACTTGATGATGATGTTTGGGGTGTTGGGCCAGGTGGTGGTGGTAAACAGCATTGGAAACGACCGTCAAGTGCTAACGCTTCAGGTGATCGAATGTCAGCAGCATCGGGATCTGGAGGATTGTCTGGATCTGAAGGTGAGAAAGAAAAACGTTATCGAAGGAAAGGAAAGCCAGTTAAAGGGAAGGAAGTTGAGCTTCGTTCGAACTACGCAACAATTCGATATTCACAAAATCAACGAAAGGAATATTATGATTATGAAGATGACGCTGGTGATTATGGTGATGAACCTCTTCCGAGGAATATCTCACCTCGAATGCAAGATGCTGAAGCTGCAGCTTATTATGGAAGAAGAAAACATGGACGAACGCCAGTGACGCCTCGCTCTGAATCAAAAGGATTTAGTGAATATTCAAAACCAACTCGTTACCCCGATGAAGATGATTATGATCGTCGTGTACCATCACGTGGTCAAGGCTTTAAGAAGAGTACAAGTCGAGATCTTTATGGTGATGAATCATCAAAAGAATTTCATGACTTCGAAGAAGATCCTAAAAGACAATCAAATGTAAGACGATCTGAGTTTATTGCAGATGAACATCAACAACCACCAAATCAACCGAACAATAAATTTAATTTTGATGGTTTTGAAAGCGATTTCAATTCGTCACCGAAACAAAAAGATTCTCAACAAGCTAAAGCGAATGAACAGCAGCAGAAATTTTCATTTGAATCTGAATTTTCACCTTCAGCAAATGCCACGAAGAATGGAAGCAGTCAACAAAAATTGAGATTCAATGAAAATGTTTCGGTGTCAAAATTCGATGCAAATCAATCGTCACAACAAATGTTTGAAGATGATTTCTTGGAGTGGACGCCTGACACATCTGCAGCAGGTGCTGGCAATAACAGCATTCAGTCAAGTCTTAAGAAGGCGCCTGGATCTAATCTGAAGGCAAATTCAGTTTTTAATCGACATGAGAATATCAAAAAATCAGATTCGGTTAACATTTTCGCAAGGAAATCTGATGAAGATCCATTTGAGAACGACGATTTCTTCAATGATGAAAACAAGGAACAAACTAATAACAATAATAATGGTCAAAGCGAACAAGATCCATTTCACTGGAGTAATAAAAATAACTTCGCCAATTTTGATGACAACAAAAATATCTGATCATCAACCAAGCGAGTGATAAGTTACAAAGAAAACAATACAAAACGCAAACACATAACGAGAAAACGATCGAGTAAGATTTACGATTACACAACTCATGATTTTGAAAAATATTTTAATGAGAGCACTGCGAGGGTGGTGATGACGACACACACGACTAAAAGCACCAAAAATATCGTCAAACGAAGCAGCAGTAACAATAATAATCCTACTTACTATTATTACAATAACAAGAACTATTTGATGAGAATGCTGATGAAGTTGGTGTACTTGTAAGTAAGTTGAATTAATAATTAATTTGACTTCCTTTCTCTTTTTTATCATACTTTTCTAAAAATGTGTTTGACCTTAAAGAAAATTATTTTAATAATTCAAAACTCACACACACACACATGCAATGTTGAATCAATTATTTTAACATTTGATGATATTAACTGGTAAAAAAAATGAAACGGTTTCAAGCAAGCAAATGTGAATGGAAAAAGCTTTTAAAGTTAAGAGTTGATAAATTAATATTTAACTTTTCTGATAGCTGTATTTATTCAATAAATGTATAATCTCGTAGATATCTGAAAGTAAAGAAGTAAAAAAATTATTGCCAGTTGCGTAATGAATAAAATACTACATTTTTGTTAAATCGCTTATGATAATACCAAAAAAAAAAACAAGAAAAGATAATGAACAATTTAGAATGAATGAGCAAATTTGCTTTCATCTCATTTTATTGGAAATGCAAATGCAATGCAAATTAATTCGAGTTGCATCTTTAATGCGCAGAACGGAAGAAAAAGCATGAAGAACAGACAAAATATAATATTTGTATTAAGTGAATAATAAGCAAAGTTTCTCGAAGCAAGTCACTAAAGGGAAACATTTCTAATTGAGATTTTAAAAATTCATTCGTTGCCATGAAAAAAGGAAAAAAAATTCTAACAATTTTAAATTTATTCTACATTAAATCACAACTCTCGTTTTCAAATAATTTTTTTATTTTATTTTAATCAAAGATATTTTGAAAATATCGAAGAAAATTGTAGAAACTCAAAATCGTTTTAATTTCATTAAAATCACATCACATCGTCACATAGAAACATAATGACAGATATCACAATTAAAAAGAACAAAATTAATAATTTATTAAACATTTATCTATTGTAAAATGAGATTATTGACTCTAAAAAACAGAATTGTATGAAATTAAATGGAAAAATTCTGTATGACTTCATAAAATAAAAATACAAAAGAAAAAAACATGCAAATTAAGTTTTGTTTTATTTATTTCTCATGTTTAAAATGAAACTTTGCGAATGTTTCACCAACTAAAAGTGGAAGAATTAAAGTTGCTTCAGCATAAATTTTAACTGGATTGGCTTCTTTTCTAATCTTTCCCCAACTAACAGCTTCGTCACATCTCGCGCCAGCATCACTTCCATCAAATTCCGAAGCAGTGTTTAAATAGACTGCAAAATCAGCTCCATTTCTCATGAGATTTGCATTGCAAATATGGTGCTTTATAAGTCCACCTCCAACAATAATAATTCCTGTGTTGACGGCTTTCACTGCCATGGTGTTGATCCGTCTCAGATCAGAAACAATATCAAGAACTAAACCAGGATTTCTAAACGAATGAAAGTACATCATGTCACCAAGAGATCCATCAGTTAGAGCTGGACAAAATATAGGAATTTTGTTGACTGCAGCCCAATAACAAATTGATTCTTCGTTATTTATTCGTTGTCCAAGTCGTTCAATCATTTTTGAAGGAGTCCAAAGTGTTCCTTTCTCTTTCTGTTCTTTCAGCATTTCGTCCAATTGTGGAATAACCCAGTTTTCAAATTTGCAATAATTGTCATTTGGAACAAGAAGATTTCCTATTCGATTAATTCCTTTTTCTCGTAAATCTTTGCCTGGAAGTTCGAATGACCCAACGTAAGTTGATGCCAAGCATTTTATAAGATCTTCTTCAACACCACCTTAAGAAAAGATTTTAAGTAGATTAAAATATTGCAATATAAATTAACTTCAAATTACCTGCTGTAGTAACAATGCAATCTATGAGCTTGTTTTGTACAAGAAACTTTATGGTTTCTCTTAGGCCTGAACTGACAATATTTGACGTATAACCAAAGAAAATCGTACAATTACTCTTTCTTTTAATAAACTCATCATCCTCATATGAATCTTGGTCGTCTTTTTCTAATGGTGTCTTTCGGGTTTCAAGCATTTTATTAATTTCATCTACAGCTTTGCCAAAATTTGTTGCTTGAAAACCGGAATTTTTATAAGTTTTCAAAATTTCATTGTAATTTATGCCATGACTCCAGTCATAGCCTTTAACTACGGGCGTATTTTCAGGCAATGGAATACTTTCTTGCAATACCGCATCCTTTGCAAGCTCAGGTTCACTGTTCATTTTAATTTTATTCTTATAAAAATCTTCACGCGTTTGTTTGTTTACTTTTTGTATCGAAAAGATGCAGAAAGTGACTTTCCCCTTATCCTTCCAGTCCCCTCAAGGCTACGCGATATCAAAGTTTCCCCTTGAAACTACGCAGATGTCTTACATTTTTTTTCCAATCCTCAGTTATATTTTTTCCCTCAGTCTCGTCAGATATGAGTGCAACGATCGAAAACTTGTCGAGATTAAATAAAAATAAAATGTAGCTAGAAATGTTCATGAAAGCTGTTAGTAACTGGATATATAACAGTAAAAAGGATATCAGAGTTACATTTAATATTATTCACTTTGAAGTTTGCGCAATAAGTGTGAGAAAATTTTAGATTGCAAAAAGAAAAAAAAGTCCAAAATGTCCAACATTGAATTTTTTTTTGCACGAAAATGAAGGAAAAAGATTTTTTTGCATAGTGTGAAAAAGTGCAAAAGTAAAAAAACTGCCAATAACAAATGATTGATAAGCAATTGATTTGTTCAGAGTAAAATAAAAATTGTTGATGTGTTTCCAACACTTGTATTTGGATTAAATTGATTTGTGATTAAAATGTAAGTCTCGCCTGAGTTGTTTGTTTAATAAAATTTCTAACGTTGCGCAGTTTCCAATCACTTTTCAAGTTCTCTTTGCGGTGCTCTTGAAATGAGAACATGCAATAAAATTGTTTTTTATTGGATAACTTGAAGCATTCTAAGGGCTGGCTGTTGGGTGATTGAAAATGCTAATTGAATTTACAGCCTTCAGAAGTTCTTTTAAACACTTTTTTTCCTCGCCCTTTATCGACTGTCAATTGTAAATTGATTGTTTATTTCTAAATGGATGGAATTTCATATGAGCATGACAAGTTTTATTGCATACATTTTATTTGAAATCTTTTCAATCTGACACAGTAAACAGGAACGATATGTTCAAATGTGATTTGGAATAAACGGAAAGATATAATTTTTCAAGCATAAAAGCTTGCAGCAATATATGTATGTGCCTAGTTTGCTTTTCATTCTTCTTCTGCTTCATGGCGGAGTTTGATATCATCTGATGAAGATTGTAAAAAATTCCTATGAAATTTCTTGATATTTATCATCACATAACTTTCAAATGATTCCCAATTTTTTTTACTTCTTCTTCAGTGTTACATTCTTATGCGGTAATTTTTCATTCCATTCCATCCTTAAATTCTTGATGATTACACTTTAATTATTACTTTCGTTACAATTTTTATGATTTTCTGGTTTATGGGATCTTCTCTTGTGCTTTGCCATCCTATCCTATTCGTCATAATCATGCTCAACGTCGTTCTTTATTATTTTTTGCTGCTTCTTTTATATATAATTATTGGGCATATAAAGCGATAGATTCATTTCTCAAGAATTTCTCTTTTCCGTTTGTTCTTTTAGGTAAAAAAAATGAAAATAAGTCTCCGACTTTTGTAAACCAACTAAGAAAAAAAGAAACAAAATAACAAGAAACTAAGAAAAATTAATACAGAACGAAGAAGCTTAAAGAAAAAAGTAATAAGAAAGATATCTTGATTACAAATGATATAAAACGGAATAGTAAAAGAAGAAGAAAAAAGACGAAAACTTAATGAAATAATGATTGAAATGACGAGAATAGTGGAAGTCTTGCTGTTTGCATCCATTGTGATACCGACACTGATCAATTCGTTGGCAAACTGTCCCAACGGTTGTTTGTGTAATGATGAAACGCTGGTTGTGACATGCTATGAGACAAACCTGGATGTCATGCCCATCGCGCTGAATCCTTCCATCAAGCAATTAATAATGAAAAATAATAAAATTAAGTCAATTGAATCAGCAATACAATTCTATCCAGACATTGAATTCCTTGACTTGAGTGGGAATCATTTACTGAAAATTCCATCGCGCACCTTTCAATATCAGAGGAGATTGAAGGAGATGCGCTTGAATAACAACAAAATTGGTCAAATTGAACCAGAAACATTCCATGGGATGGAGTCGATACAGATATTAAACCTGCGTGGTAATCTTATTGACTTACTCGAGCATAATTCCTTTTCTTCACTACTTAATCTTGAAGAATTGAATTTGGGACAGAATCGAATCGCCGAGATAAAATCAGATGCTTTCTATCGTTTATATAATCTCAAGATTTTATATTTAGATGACAACACACTAAGTCACGTTCCCGCTGAATCATTCTTGCCACTTACAAGCTTAGCTGAGCTCTTCATCGGCGTTAATTCCTTCACGACCTTGGAAAAGTCGTCATTCGAGAAACTGAAAAAGTTGACGACGCTCAATCTCAATGGCGCTCAACTTGACAACATCTCATCGGGTGCCTTCACTGGACTTGATAATCTTCGTGTTTTGGATTTGTCAAGTAATCGTTTAGCTCGAATTCCAACGAAAGAAGTGTCGGGTTTGCATCGTCTTGAAGAGTTGTCGATCGGGATGAATGACTTTGAAATAATTCCCGAGAAGGCTTTTGAGGGTCTTACCAACCTTCATCAACTTGAAATCATTGGAGCGAACAAATTAGTACGCGTACAAAATAACGCCTTCATCGACAATGGTAATTTGAGAATAATACGATTTATATCGAACGAAGAACTTTCACAATTCGAATCAGCAGCATTCCATGGATTACCATTTTTGAAAGAGTTGATACTTAGAAATAATGCAATCGAATCAATACGTGAGAATCTCTACGAATGGGACAATCTTCAAGTTTTGGACTTATCAGAAAATCCATTACGATGCGATTGTCACTTACTTTGGTATAAAACATTCTTAAATAGTCGTGGCAGTCATTTGAATAGCGAACAACAAAGAAACAGTATTAATATCAACAATAACAGCAACAGCAACGTTAATCACACTATCAACTCAACGAAAATGAATTCTTTAAGTGATAGCGACAATTCCAGTATCGTAAATCATCATCAACATATAATTTGTGCATCGCCAGCTTATGCAAAAGGCAAAGAATTTCGTAAACTTTCATCCGACCTTTTCGGATGTACACCAAATTCCGATCCAAAAATTCAAGCAATCATTTGCGGCCTCTTAGTCATCACAGCCGCTACTATCACGACTCTTATATTGATTGCTTACAAATGTCGTCGAAGAAAGTTTCGTAACGTTTTAAAAGACAGTGGATGGGATATTAGCAGCACGATAGGACGAAAAGATCGTGACTATCATAAAACATATGCCGCACCACAATATATCGACACGATGAGAAAGCACACATTGGGTGCGACAATATCATCGCCCTCACATTGCAACAGCATGACCGGTGCTAATAATTACCAGCAATATCCATTAACACCGATGATTCCCATAACAGAACTATAGCAAAACGCTCCTCCTTCACGCAATAGCGCGGGAGGAGGTTCAAAATCATCAAACAGCAGTGGCAGTGGTGGTGGTGGTGGAATGACCATAGCAACCACAACATTCTTGAAACTGAATCAATCACATTTCAATCAAGGAATTGATTACATGCCAACTCCATCGCCAAGTGAAAACAATGATTTCTATCAACATCACCATTTTCCATACCATTTCGTATCGCATCATCAATATTATCCACATATGCATTGCACAACACCGTCTCAGCATTGCGATCATCATTATGGGACAACAAGTAAGAGTGGTAAGTCATATGCACATCATACTTATCAGACTATCGGTCCATCAACAATCAGTTCAACGCTCCATCACGAGCATCATTATGCAAAGCCCGATAATATGGGAAATATTGAAATTATTGATAGTAAAAAGCTTCGCAGCTTTGATGATATGAATAATGAAATATAAAATCTTTGTATCTATTTATTTATTTTCATCCTTCAATTAGTGTAGCGTGACCTAAAAGAAATTGTGAATATCTTGTAAGCAAAAAAAATGAAAGAATCTGTAAATATTTATTAAATGTCATTCCACCCCCATCCCAGCTTAACAAAAATATCTAAGTAAATATTATCAATCAATTTTTAAAGCGATAAAAATATTTGAAAAAAGAGGTGGAAATATAAATGGATGGTTTCGACTTTAAATAATCGCATTTATTGTGTATATAAATATATGAAGATATCTGACAGAATTACATAAAAAATAAATTTAATAATATTCATAAAAATGCGACACATCATTCTATTTAAGTAAGCTCAGCGAATATTAATGATTGTGAAAAGTTTGTAATAAAATTATTAAAATGACATTATATTTATGAAGAAAAAAAACGGAAATAATGTTGGAAAAGAGGCAGCACAGTTATTCATAAATATTTAAGCATGTTTTACTGGCAACATAATTATAATAGCGTGTTTAGCAAATTGAGTGAATTTTCATTTTTCTTCCTCGTTGTACAGTAAAAATCTTTAAACTTCTACATTCCATTTTAAAAAACTTAATCTCTTAAAATATTTCTAGAATTTCTACTGTATATTGCACAAAATTAATATTCAGAGAAAAAAAAATGAAAAATTTGAGCTATCAAGACTTGAAAGAATTGTGAAATGTGCAAATGTTAATTTTCCTTAATCGCATTCATAAAGCTTGAGAACAAAAAAGAAAAAATCGTTTAATGTTCCTCGGAATATGATTAATAATTTTTCCAATATTTCCTGTTTAATATCACAAGCGTTGTGCTGTTTTTTCATAATAAAAAATTTATTTTTAAACATTGACGTATCAGCAAAAATAAGCAATCTTAATTTACTCAATGAGTGACTAACATTCATTTATACCTTCTCTATGTTCACGAAAAAGCGATTCGTTAAACGCGGCTTCCCAAGATAACGACATTAAACGCACAATGAAAACGCTTCACAGAAAAGAACTGAGGTGTCATAAACATTCTCTCGCACGTTTCGAAGCCTTTGTTGTTGTGTGTCTAAAAAAAGAAGAAAACATTTAACAAAGAAATTCACTATCAAACCTAGATAACAGTTCATACATACACACAGCTATCTATGTGTGTTCATAACTCTTCTTTCATGTAATGTTGCGCTCACGATGGAAATAAATCATGACGTGTGGATGAAAAGTGAAGCAAGAAAAAAACAAAACAATACAGAAACTATACTTTTATGTACATATACCCGTCAGAAATGAATCATTCGCCCGACTGATGACTGGTTGTGTATCTTATCGCAAAAAAAAAGGTTCTTTAATTCCGCCAGCAGGCATAAAAACAAGCCGAATTACCGGAATAGCAAGCCAACGTCGTGTTTAGTCGACTTCTTTTGATTCAGCTTCATTTTGCAAAGAATGAAAGAATGAAAAAAGAAACTAAAGCAGACTGACGGCACTCGATTCCAGATATTTATTTTCTTTCTCTCTCCTTCTCCTGCCAACCATTTCTTTTTCTTTTTTTTTGAGTGTTATCTAATGATATCATGAGAATTAAAAGAGAATCAAATTATAAAAGAATGTTCGTAGCAGTCGGTTATCATTATCATTCGGACACAATGAAACGCCATTCGTTCGTTGGCGGGCTTAAGAATTTCTCGTCGTCGACCCACAGAACAAAATTGAAAAGATATGCTGAAAGATATTAATTGTGAAAATATGAAGAAAGAAAAAGAGAAGTTGAATTAAATGCAGAGTGACATTTTTTTCTTCTTTTCAAAAGCAAAGAGATAGCCGATGAACTCTTTTCTTACTTATTTCTTTTATTGTTTGCGTGTCACCCCAAAGCGACGTGCAATTGCTTGAAAATGACACAAACTCACTCGAATTTAAATTGACTCTCCAAAGGAACTTCGGAATCTTTTTTAAAAAGTAATAACATAAAAGAAAGAATTCCGCAACGGATTAAAATCGACGCTGTCATCGTCGTCGCGGTTCAAATGAAAAACATTTTGGGTGTGAAAATATTTTTTTGTTTTATATTTTCCGACTCTAATTAAATAAACAAAGGCTGATTACTCGCACGTCATCCATATGTGTCACACAATATAAATATGAACTATTCATGAGATTAAAAGACGATAACAAGTAGCGAGGCACAATTAAAAGCAATTAAATGCGAGTTTCTTTTAACACATAATCTTTTTTTATTTCTGAAGGGAGACATTCCAAGTGAGGGGAGGCAATGAACGAGTACGTAAGACGAGAAGGCCACTAAGAAGGGAGAAAGAAAGGAAAAAATAAGCGAATCAAAAGCGTATTTTTGATATAATGAGAATTACATACGACCAGCAACATATTCGTCTGTTTGGGGGTTGTAATGTCGTGTTTTCTTGGAGCAAAGCGAACCTTCATTCATTATAATTAATTTCATTTTATTTCCTTCACTCCAATGCTTCCCTTCGCATTACTTCTCCCAATGGACATCAATAATACTGCCCTGACATATTCTCTCCCTTCTTTCTCATCTCCTTGAACCAGTGAAATGATTTTATGAGCCTCTCGTGTTTGGTGCGATCATCTCATCATCCTCGAGACTTTTTTCTCTTCCCTTCTGGTGAAGATTGAAAATGGGGCGGTTGGTGAAGGCTTTTAAATATAAAAGCGAGGTCCTTCATCATGACATGAACATTATATCAACGCTTCGAATATGTTTTCCAAGTCGATGATGAAATTGTGCAACACAAACACTCACGTATCGTTTCAACTTTATTTTTCTCGTTTACGAAACTTCCTCGAGCATAAATATAATGAAAAAAAAAGACATAAGAAAAATTCTTCATGTATGCTGCCGGATACTTATCAGGCAATTCTCATCTGCCTTCTCCCATTCTGCCATCTTCAACAGCAACACACCGCGTTTTTCTTATCACACATTTCCAATCGATGAGAATTGTTTTTATGTGTGTACACATAACATTCGCTTTTGCATCATTTTCGCTTTTCCTTTTCTACCCCCCATCTAACTTGAAATCGGCTCTTAAACAATATATTGTTTTTATTCTCGTCCTTACTTGCTTCCCTTCCAAATATTGGCTGTTATGTTGCGAGACTTCACTTTATTCCAATATCGAATTTGAAGGGAGAAAAAAAACGTTGAAGAAGAACAAGAAACGAATCGAAACAAAGTTGAATGATTTCATTGCTTTTATGATTATTTTCATAGCTTTTTCGTGAAACCATCAGAAAATGCATTGGCGGGAATGAGATTCATTCCTTTATTCTTCCTTCTAGCATATTGTTTTCAAACTCAATGTTATAACTTAAACAAAACCATTTTTCTTTCTCTGTTGGGTTCAATGTTGGGGGGAGGGGAGGGGGACATTTTTTTGTTGTACTACAAGCAACCCATGCAAAAGAGTCGATTCCTCGAGGGTGTAAACTCGCTGAGCGGTAGGAATAATGATATGGAAGAGATGAATGATTACTTGAGATTAAACATAATGAAAAATCATAAAAATAATCGCAAAGGGAAGGCGATGCTGGGACGGCGATATTTAATGTTTAAATGCTACTTATTCCTTCCATAATGACTTGTTATAAATACCATTAAAGATTAAACAGTGAAGCCGTTGAGAAGTTTTTTTTCTCTTCTTTTTCTTGAATCTGAATTTGAATCGAGGCGAAGCCGAGGTGTTGATTTCAACAACTGAACACAAAATTCATCCAAAGATTATTTACTTCTTTTTAATGACTACAACATCGGTAATGCGAAGACGAATGAAATCTGTTTTATTACTTATTATTTTTATTATTCTTATGAAAAAGTATCATTCGGAAATGTAAGATTTTTCTATTGCGATGAATATAAAATTGTAAAATATTTAATGGCGTAGGAGGAGTTAAATAAATTTGTATGATAAGAAACGACGACTTTGTTATTATTATAATTCTGACGCTGATGATGTTGATGATAACTAAATAAGAAAAGACAAATCTTTATACTTAATAATTAAAATTAAATTATTTCCTTGTTCTTCTATCGGATCGAAAAGCAATATAAACTGTAGCCAAGTGAGAAAGATAACAAAAATTTAAATCAAAGAAATTAAAGACATTCGATGATTTAATTGAAAGAAAAAGCAAATTTAGAAGATTATTCATGTTCAAGAATGTATAAAAAAGAAATTCTGTAACTTATGCATGAGATTGATGGAGAAGCATATTGGGTGAGAGAGAGAGAGAGAGAGGGAGGGGGTGGATGAAGGAGCTTTTATCCCGCAACATAAGTATCGAATAAATTATCAGCATCGAATTTCATTATCAGATCATCAGCCGCCTTCATCTTTTTTATTTCATTTCGAATTAAAGGAGCATCGACAGATTGCGAAGCAGGAAAAAAGATTCAAATTAATAATTAAAGAATTGATTATCATGGAAGAGAAAGTTGCAAAGTATAGGGCGTTTGTTGATGATCTTATGATAAAAGATTCCACGAACTTGCGCAAACGAGGAAGTATTGAGAATCTTCAATCATCAATTAACTTCTTAACTATTCACTGACTGCTTCTTCTACAACTTGAACATATTTTCAAAGCATTTTATTCTCATACTTATAAACGTACAACATATTACATATTTAACACAAAAAAGAAGTCAAAGCAAACATAAACAGCAAATTTATTGAAATATAAATATTTGTCCTTACGTACAATGTAAATATTTCATCATTGAATTCATTCGAGCGACGTAAACTTTTCTCTTTCTTATAATTTCATCTCCGTTCATTCGCTAAGAAAATCAAATCAAAATCAAAAAAACCACTGATGAAAAAGTCACTCTGAACTTGTTCTCTTAATTTTATAATCTTTAATGGAAAATCTATCAAGCAAACAGCAAAAAAAAATCGAAATCGAAATGTAATCAAAATCAAAACTCAAATCAATACGAACAGATGAAAAAAAAAGAAGAAAAATCTAAAATTAAAATGATTGTAAAACAGCAGAATGAGAAGCAAGTGGAGAATCAGAAAAAGAATCTTCCACTCAAATGATTGAATTAATTAATATAGATGTGTTTTTTTATATAATCGATAAACTGAAGATATATCTAAGCCGAAGACAAAAATCTACATGTTTCACTCAAGTTGAATCTGCTCGAGCTATAGTCGTAAATTGAATAGAATGAGAAATCTAATGAGAGATAATCTAATAAGAATAAATAAATAAGATGATAAAACAAGAAAACAAACTTCTCAAATAATAAAAAAAAAGATAAAAGACGAACATGAATGATGTATGATAAAATATCTAAAAGTTTTCCATAAAAGAAAAATGTTTCTACTTAGATAATAAAAATTAAAAGAAACATGTACATTCTACCTTAGCTTTGTATAGCATCAAAGATTGAGGTTCAGTATGAAGAAAAGATGAAAAAAAGTAATGATAAAGATAAGTTAGTATAGAGAAGGAAGCTATTTAATCAAACTGTTGTTTAAGAGACATAAGACCTCATTGCAAATTGCTTTTCCAATTTAGTTTGCTTTCTTTTCTAAAAGATTTTACTTTTCCTTTTGGCCAAGAACGACTTTCAATCTTCTCTTTCACTTTCCAATGATTTGTTCAACAAGGGATTAAGATTTAAGCTTCTTCATATAAGATATCCTCAATCATATGAAGACATCCTGTCTGTTGTTGATTGGATTTAAGTTGAACAATAGTCACACAAGGATTAACCATATCTGTGATTTGTAGAAAAAGATATTTTCATTTATTTTTATATTTTCATTTTTGTCTCATTTCGTTTCGGCTTCTTGAAGCTTTGAGATCTTCTGTTTCATTCAAGGCCATCAACATATCAAACATCAACTTTTAATGGATTATAAAAGCGATCATGGTAATTGACGGTAATGAGGTCTTGAAATGCTGTAAGATATCACGCTTTACCCAATGACATATTTGAGTTTCGGCTCTTGAATATTCACAAGAGATGAAAAAAACGAATAAATAAATTCATAGATAATAAAATAACATAGATTGACGATGATAACTAAATACATTTTTATTTATAATCGAATTGAAGTCAAAATTGTCATATCTAAAGATAGAAATGAAATCACTTGATGGTGTTTGCGAAATGATGTCACACAATTATAATCAGTCTTGCCAATGATGAAGAAGGAATAAATATTTCTTATAAAAGCAAAATTAATTAAAAGTAATTCCATTAGATTTTAGTATTTAATTTAACAAATAAATATTCTGTCCTTAAATTGATACCAAATTGAGAATCCACACATGCTAAACAGGTGATGGAACGTGAGTAAAAGAAATAAATTTAAATAATTCTCTATCATAATCTTCATAAAAATAACTTGTAAGTTATTATTTATGTAAATATCATAATAAAAAACAACAACAACAAATATAGCAAAAACGAAGAAGTGAGAAGAGAAGAATAAAATAAAAAAAAAGAAATACAAAGTTTGAAATAAAAAGGAAATTATTCAAAACATGTAAAGCAATGTTCTCTGTGTTTTTATTTTCTCTGCTGGTGCTTCTGAAATGACAATGTAATTGACGATGCTTTTAAGGTAAGCACATTGAATCTCATGTTTCAGTTTCTTATAGCAACCGAAGAAGTCAAGAAACTACATTTAAGGGCAAATTACCTTTTTTTCATTCTTACTAAAATGTAAGACATCTCTGATTATATCTATAAAGTACATGAGTGGTCAGAGTCTGAAGAAGCTAAGATCAACAATAAAATTATCTTAAACACCATCGCCAACACAAAATACAATACTTAAAGTGCAAGTGGAATTACATCTTCGATGGCTTTGAATAACAACAAGAAAGAAAATTGTTATCGCAGATTCTCTTTTTGTCATTTTTGTTCCTTTCGCTCTCGACTGAAACTTGTTTTTCTGCATTCACTTAACGAGGGGTGAGTATGTAAGTAATATTTAATAGAATTAAGCTGTAATTTGTGCAATTATTTTCTCGTTCTTCTTGAAAATATAGCAAAGGTAAGAAAAGTAATTTTCATTAAGCATTCACACGCTCATTAAGAAAGAAAATTCTGAAGAATGGAATAAAATCATTGGAAAATTCTTTCTTTAAAGGAAACACATTTTCCATCCACTTTTCAGTCTCTAAAATTTAGATTCCCGTCTCATTTATTCGTTCATCCTCCCCTTCGAACAACTTGCCTTCGTCGTCGTCCTCGTCGTTGTTGAAACACAAAAAAATATTCTACACCTGCACAGTAGACACTAAAAATAAGTTGATACATTTTTTATTATGTGTATTCTCACGAATCTCCGATTCAAATATTTTGTGCAAGAACCAAGGCAAGAATGGAAGAAGAGAAATAGAAGAAGAATAACAAGCGTGGAGTTTAAAGTTTGACAACATCGCATTCACAGTAAACTCGCCATTTCAACACTGCAAAACACGAATGAGAAGAAGTAGAAGGAGAAATGCCCGCTTCTTCAACTCTTATTGATGTGAAAATTGTTTGAAGCTTTTCCTTTCATCGTTTTCATTCTCGAAAAGTATCCCCAGTTGTTCTCGTGTTCATTTGATGTTTATGTTGGTATAAGAATGAAGCGCATTTGAGGTCGAATGAAAGATTTAAATGCAAATGTATTAAGCGAATCTTTCTTCCAGAAAATTGAAATAAAATATAAATTGAATGGGAAGGGAAGGCAAACGATGGTAAGAAGCGGGTGAAGGCTTCAGGGCTGAATGAAAAATAAGCAAGTGAAAAGGAAGGGAATATCGAGGCTAAGGCAGTGTGCACACAGTTATTCATCTCGTTTTCAATTTTCCTCGAGAACTCGCCTTGCTTTTATTTTGATTCTCTTTGATCCTTCTGTCAAGATTGAAGAAAAGTGCACCAAGCATCGTAAGAAAATTGAAAATACCACGTTGGCGTTCGTTGTGATGAGAATTATGGCTGGGGGATGGATATAATGGGGTTTGAAAAATTGAATAGAACAAAAAACTGAGAAAGGAAAAAAACAACATTGAATATTTATTCGAGGCTTTGAACATCAAGTCTACGTAAAAGTATATTAATTTATTTCATCGAATGAAAAGAAAGAAAACTTTTCATTCTTTAACTTTTATGAAGGAATTTTCTTTTCATAGATTTTCATTATTCGAGTTGGAATTTTTTCTCTCCCATTTTTTCCCTTTTTTTCTGTTTTCTTTTTCTTACTTCATTCGATGGAAAATTATTTTCCTTCTGACATTGAGTCACTTGAAGAAGGAAACGAGAAAGCGTTGATAGGATTTTGCAGTTTTTCTTAGCTTTCAATCCCACACTGCGGGACTTCAATTCAAAAGGAAATCAACTAAAAATGGTGTCACAATGGCCAATTAAAGGATGAGAAAGTCATTTTTGTGTATGCTCCCGGATATTAAATTGTTTTCCATCATCTCTACATGATTCATGAAAAGAAATTATCATATGAAATATTAATTTCATTAGAATTTATTTTTGATTAAAGCCTCTGGCGTGACTTTCCTCCAACCCCACAATTGAGAAACTTTAACAATTCTTCGCTTTGATTCTCGTGTTGATTTTTTTTTTATTAAAAGTAATGTGAATGAAATTTTCCTCCCCTTTCATCTTTCTTTTGAATTTGTCAACTCTTTTCTCTCGTCACTTCATTCAAGCTTTATAAAGCAAAACAAAACGACGGAGGAAGGAAGAAATGCCGGAGATTCTTTTGCTTTTAATGTTGATGGTTAGAGAAACCTCGCAGGGAATCACTTTCATTGTGTGTCTCACCATTCATAGAACATTCTCGTTAAATAATTTCTAGCTGCAATTAATTTTTAAAACTTAAACTCAACCTTCGTTTTAATTCATCATCTGTTGTGACGAAACACCAAATGAGATTGAAAATTTTTTATTTATAACGATACGAAAAACCTTTTTTTTTCTACATTTCGATATCTTTCCTTTTTTTGTTTTTGTGGGGGTGTAAGAAAAGGTTTGGAAAAGGAAACAAAGTCACATTCAACACTTTAGGGTTGGGTCAACCGCAACAAAAAGAAGCAGAAAAAGAATAAAATTGTCAAAAAAAAAAGGAATAAAATTGTAGCGACACCACCAAAAGTCAAAGTCAGAGTCAATTTTCCATCGAGACGAGGCGTTTAACATTTTATTTTCATCTTCTCATCCATTCATTTCGTTCACCCACTCAGTCACCCATCATTCCGGTTTAGGTTTACCCTTCCGGTGGGGAGAAGAAAAAGAAAGAAAGAAAAGCATGCAGCATTCCTTACCAACTTCATTATTGTGAATTTATGTAAATTCGTTTCAATTTATCAAAAGAGGCAAAAAGCGAGCACTTTTCTACAGTTTAAGTCACATGCATGGAATTTGAGTATGTTTAGTTGTGATTTCTTTTTCCCGGTGACCTATTTATCACACGACGAGTTAAAAACACGATGAGAATAAAAAGAAGAAGAATGCAATTGGGGAGAAATATTTTCGGGTAAATATTTATGTCTTGATTTTCATTCGTTTTTTTATTCTTCTGCTTTTTTCTCTCGTTTACATTACTCGTTCTGTTCGATCTGCGGAATGAGACTATGAATATTTACTCTTCTACTCCCGGCACTCAAAAACGATAAATTTCCGATGCTTGCTCGATGTTGTTTAATTTATTGTGCTCTTCGAACTTTTTATAAAAAAAAAGTCAATTGGGAAATGATGTAATCTTTAATCGAACGCTCTTAGGTTTTGTATGGAGACTGAACGAACGAACGAACGTAAGCATGAAAGACTCCGATGTCGCATACGATTTATGTTGCAATTGAATTCTTTTAAACGCAAGAAGCTCTGCTTTTAAATATAAAGGAAGTTAAAAGTAGTTTTGGGTGCACTTTCAAAGGAAGTTTAATAAGAATCTTGATTGAGATTGACTTTTATCCTTAAGGGATTCGCACCGCAATTTCAAGGATTTAAAAGTCGAAAAGCATTACATGTCAGGATATCTTTCACCCTCTACATTCGCTTTTCACCATTTCGAAAGCAGCTCGATCGGATTAAGCTTTTCACTCGATGACTCCAACAGAAAATTAGTCCCTTGAGAGAAATATGAAATCAATATCCACAGAAAATCCATCAACGAAGTCATTTTCTACGAAGCATTTATTTATTATTAGACATTTCTCTCTCCCTCACTATCCCCCTCGAGTGAAATGAAATGAAATGAAAGCCTTCTTTTGCAATCTATCATTCTAAATAAAGCAGGAAAAAAAGCTGAATCCCTTCAGCTTATCATCTCTTTTTCGATTAAAGTCCATAATTAAATGTGACCATTAAAAACATCGAACTTGTATTTATCTCAAGTTTTCTTTTATTCAATGATTTCTTTATAATTATTTAGTTTGCTTGGTTTGTTATAATTATTATTTATTCTTTATACGTTTGTTATTTTTCGTCGAAAACGAAAATTACATGATACATATCTAAATAATCAAAATTCTTTCTTTAAATGCTTTTTTTTAATGTTCACGCGAAAAAGGGAAAAAAGAGACAACAACGAATAATCTTTTGATGTTCCCTTTTTCCCCCTCAAGTTGTGGTGTGTGAGTGCTTTGGGTATCACATACAAATTAAATGTTCATAATAATTTGCAGGATATTGACAATAAAAGATGAAATTTTGTATACTCAACTCTAATTATCTAACAATTCATTTATTAAAGTTTCATTACTGAGCTTGTTGTTTATTATTTAGTTTTATTAGGCGTGGAATGAAATAAAAATCACTCCAGAAGCCTTCTTCAATATAACTTCACATGATTACACTACAAAACTTATCTAGCTTTGTAAATATCCCGACATTGTGTTAATCATGCACTGTAATTATTTTAAATACAAATTAAACTTCTTTTTTTTATTTTATTAATCTTTATAGTCTACAATGCTTTGCTACGTTATATGCAAATTACTAAACAAAAAACAAAAAATAAATGAAACATCCACGCGAGTGTTTCATGTCGTACGATATCACGTCTCATCAAAAGTTTCATTTCATAAAGCAAATTACTTCCTGTGTATGTGTTGTGTGTGTATGTGTGTAATTTAGTATTTTTTTCTATGTGTTTATGTATGAATTATTGTTGTTTTTTTTCCCTTTAGCCAAAGTTTTATTTTTCGCAACAGCAAATGAAGTTGAGAGTTAAATTGAAATAATTCTTAACTTCTTCTTCTTCTGCTTCATAGCATATTTAAGTTAAAGAAAAAAATCATAAATAAGAAGAAGAAGAAGAAGCTGATGAAAATACGTAATTTAATTGCATTAATTTTGAGATGGAGCAAGAAATGAACAAAACATTTTTTTTGCCTCGTCAATTAATCATGCGGAGCCTTCAAGCGTTAATTCAATTAAATGTATTAAGGCTCTTCAGTTGGATAGCCGGTGAAGTCATCACGATCGACCGGTGGTGGAGTCATTACAACTTCAATTTTCTTGTTGGGAGCTTGCGTTAAATAGCCAGCGACAGAGTTTGAAGGGCCTGCTGTGAATCACAATAATGTTTATTAATTGCCTACTGAAATCATAAAACGACACAAACAAATAAAAAGAAACTTACCAGCAATCATTCCACGCTTCTGCGTGTCCATAATAAACAAATCATGATTCTGATCTTTGAACTCGGCCCAAATTGGATCTGAATTAAGAATATGAAGCACCTGATCTCCATAATTTAAATTTATTGCCATTGTTTTTAATGCTGATACAATCTGAGCGATGACAGTTGCTGGATTTGATGTTAAATTGCCACGTGACTTAAGTAAACCAAGTAGAAACTGAATCAACATACATTCAAGTGACTGTCGAATCAACGAATCCTATGAGAAATGCCAAAAATACAACAAAAATTTATGCATAAACGAAAGCACATCATTGGGAATATGCTTAAAACTTACATGTTGACATTTAAATAATCTCGTTAGCGTCTCACAGCATGTTGCAATCAAATCGCGCTCGTTTTCCATGCACTTCTTTAGTGACAAAATGCATTCTGTTTGAGCAATCGCTGCAACACAAACCTAGGTAGTGATTCAATCGATGTTTGAAAATTAGAATTAAAAATGCAATGAAAAATTTTAATCAAACCTCGGATAATGAAAGCTGATGAATGACAGTCAAAGTGCTTTTGGGTTGAACGGAAAGTTGACGGAAAAGCTTTGGAATGTGACCGAGAACTGGTACAGCGTCAGCTAAATGTGGTGAATTATTTAGGAAACCAACAAGAGCTGATGTTGAAATGTCTAAAGTTTCTTTCGACGTTCCCGAACGATTTGCATTGTCAACAATGAAGTCGAGCAAGTCCGACAAGAACTGACGTGGTCTTCTCAATGTCCATCCGGGATTGGCAGCATAAAGTCGTAAATAAACGCCAGACACGACTAACTCGTTGGTGGCAATATCTGACAACATATCCGGATCTTTCCATTGATAATCCGGATTTTGTTTTTGATTATGATAAAAATTGTCAGCAATTTTTCTTATCGTTTGTGATACACGATCTCTTGTCTTCTCGTTCCATATCAGTTCGGGATGTTCATGTTCAGTTTCCAACATTTGTACAGAAATTGATGGCGAGTCAATCATAGCGTCGAGAAAAACAGCAGGAAGAAATTTCGTGACAGTTATGCGCACTTTGGGGCCACTCAACTTGTCACCTGTCATCTTTGCTAACAACTCGGCACTTGTTTCACGTATCTGAGCGTTATTAGAGTTGCAAAATTGATCCAAAAGATATATGACAACACCTGGATGAACAAAAGCATGAAAAAAGTTAGTAACGTGTAATTGTTATATGAATTTCAACTTGAACTCTTTCACCTTTCAAATGAGCTTCCTTCACCAGCTGTGGAGCATTCGTTAAACCCGATAGCGTGTCAAGAACGCGCTGCTTCTGAAAGTCGTCGTCTTTCAATGTACGCAAGAACGTGCCGAGAATTTCACATGCGGAAATTTCAGTAACACATTCTTTGTTACGCGATAGAAGCGAAATTACTTCGAGTGCGAGTGTCTTAATATGTTGATTCTATTTGTAAAGTAATTTTATATAATGAAAATAGATTGTAATTAAGCTAAAGTGAGAGATCTCTACAGCATATTGTCTTTTATGGCAAACTTGTATAAAGTTCCACAGTGAAATGTCGATAAAAGGAAATTATGAAAATTTTCTTTCTAAATTTAGCAAAAATTGTCAAATCAGTTAAAAAATATTCTATTTATTTTAATGTACGACTCATAGAGAACTTTCACTGTATCAATTATTTTCTTTTGCCAATTACCTGCTCTTTCACATTTATATTTAGATATCCAAAAAGAATGTCAAAGTTCCCAATACATTGAAGCTCAACATTAGGATTGAGCTTTATCACAGATATCAACGAATTTAATGTCATGATCAGATGCTTGACAAACTTTTGATCGCTTGCAAAGTCATAATTGATTTTTGCTGTTCCATTTTCATTCTTCTCCAACTGATTCTTTATTTTCGATCGATTGTAATCATTCAAGATGTTATCGAGATTTTTCTGTGTTGGCTTTACTGGCGTCGGAATCAATGGCGCTTGCATCATGCCAATCTTCTTCGGACTGTTTTGATATGAAGGTTGATTGATGGTTCGTGTTCCATTAAGATAAATATGCGCTTGCTTTAAATATTCAAGTAAGTCGAGAACAAACATCTTGGGATTTTGGATAGGAAACGTCGGCATTTCATTATAAATTCGAATGTAAACGCCGCCGATTTTCAACTCATCACGTGTCGCATCGTAAACAAACTTAGATGTTGTATTGTAAATGTCTGTAATATCGCTAAATTGTTCTTTGGAACTGTTTTGACGTTGAAATTCAAGAAAGTCGAGTAGTTGAGCTCTCGTTCCATTGTCCCAAATCAAATAAGGATTTCTTGTGTTTTGGGTCAATATTTTGAGTACTTCGTGTTCGGCTTCAATGGCAAGTTTATTGGAAATGTATGGTGTCAGGAGAATATCTAAGATACTCTTCACAACAATGTTTTGTGGTGATCCCGTGACAGTATATTTACTGAAACTCTTAACTGTCTTTGTCGTTTCACTTGCATCTTCGCCTGGCGAAATTGGTTCGTTGTTGACTACGTTGTTAACTGTCTGCACAAGACTTGAGTTATTCTGTAATATATTCGATGCATTTGACGTATAAGAGCTTCCGTTTGGATTCATGACCGAAAGTGATGGTGCTTCAGCTTTACCCTGAATTTCTTTCGGCTTTTCACCTTCTACCGGAAGCATCTCGTCGTTCACTTCCTTCTCTTCAGCATTAAAAGCAACGTTATAGCCAGCCAATGCGACACATGCAATCACCGAAGACTTTGCAAGATTATTTAATGCTTGCTGCGAGGGATGAAAGAAAGAGATAAAGAAAAGAGAACATTAAGCGACGATGAGAACTTCTCAAGCACCACAAGTTTCCCATTTTTCATTCGCAGAACTTTCCGCTTTTCCTTTGGACGAGAAACTTTTCACTTTTTTTATTTTATTTTTTTATTCAAAACTTTTTGTTTCCTTTCAGATGGGAGCGACAAGAAAACTTACAAACTTCATTTTGGAGTATGTAAAAAAATTGTACGTGGCAAGGAGAAAAGTGTCAAATAATTCGTGTTATCACATGGGAACTGAGCTCTAACTTAGATAGATATTTCATCCAATAAACATTCGCCAAAACCCAGAACACCCGCCCGTTTCGCCCCTTAAGAGATAGCATAACAATTTGACGAGAATTAAATTCTTGTGAATGCCATTGGGAGATGATGTAGCGTATTTTTTTTTCTTCCTCTTACTCTTTCTTCTAATGTGATAATCCAGAAGAATAAAGCGATGGATTTCATGTGTCATCTCACCCGCAATGATGATGCAATTTTGCTTTTTTTCCCATACATTCTTTACTCTCTCAATTTCAGATTCATTCATCCTCGAAAAGCGGTGAACAAGATGAAAAAGATGAAAGAAAGTTGGGGAATAGACGACATAAGACTTTATTGAGTTCTATTCTTCATGAAATCATAATAAGAGAAGTTTAACAACCCGTTCTGACTCAGAACAAGTGGTGAGGTGGAAATTTCAATTTAAATAAGAAAGTTTACTGATTAATGGAAGAATTTGGAATGTTCATAATTTACGTTATTAACATCTTACATAAGGGACATAAAATGTTGCAATCTATATTATTATAAAGAGGTGGAGATGAAGATTCCTTCACATATGTTTGAAGTTCAAGCCCTTTTTGATTTGTTATCATATGAAATTTCATATTTCTTTAAACCGTAAATTCCAAACATTCCCTAGAGTAGAAAAGACTTGCTATGTCACCCACGAATTATCTAGTTAAAAGTAAAAAGAGAAAGAAAGAATGAAATTCTCATTCTCATCGTCAATTCTTTATGCTTTTACATTGGACCCGCTTAAATGGGTGAATTATGATTTATAGATTTCTTCTGTTCCCTCAAGAATTTTTCAATGATGAAGTTACAACGAAAAGATTTCATCAACCAAGTTGATGATTGAAAAGCGTTGCAAAATTACAAAAAATTCATCGTTTTTCTTTTCTCTTTTCAATTAACCTTTTCTGACACTCGAAAAAGTCATTCATTAAAAAAAAATTGCTATTAAATCTGAAAGCGAAAAAGTGACAGATTTTCATTATCATCTATTGCATGACATTTTGGACTTTGTTACGCTTTTTATTTCCATGTGCTGTGTGATAAGATTTCAATTTAATTCATTGATGTCAACAATCATCATCTAATGTCATTCTTAATTAATTTATGACACCGTACATTCACATTGAATGTTTCAATTAAAATGAATTACGAGTGTTCTTCTTTCAGGAGCTTTCTTTGAATATTCGAGATGAGAGGAAACTTTTCTTCTTCATCCACAAATTGTTTCAATGATGGTCTACAGTTGAGACATGATATCAAATTAAACGAGTTGATTAAATGAGTTTTTTTTGTTTCCTTCTTTTTTTTGGAATGTCATTAAGCAGCTCATTGTTATTCAGAAAGACACCATATGCGGGTATGGTCGGTTAAATGCTAATGAGACTTCAATTAAACTTGAACTTGGGTCGGCTAAACAATTTTTATCAAATCTTCTTATCACATTGATTACAATTTCCTAGTGGTCAACGACACTTATTATATTTAGATACTAATGAACAGCAAGAGAATTAAGTAAACAATTCAAATTCATTCCTACCTGCTTGTTAGACTTTTCCTCAATTTCCACTCCACTTTCTTCGAGGGTGTAATCATAGTCGAACATGAATAAAAGTATCGACCAAAGCACCCCGTTACGGATGAGATCACACTGCAGCTGGTAATTGTTGGCTGCTAAACTCGTGACCAAATTAATGGACAGCGAATGCTATGTTATGAAAGACAGAGAATTGATTCGTTCGTTAATTGAAAATAAATATTTTAAGCAACCATATTTCGGGTGAGCTGATTGTTATGTAAATGACATCAATTAAAAAACAATATAAACTGTCTCATACGCACAAGGACGGAAGTCTTGTGTCATAAATTTTATTCATGTCACGCATCGGTAAGATTTGTAGACTATCTTCGTCTATGACTATAACTGTGTAAATAAATAAACATTTCAAGGGAACAATTGACAAATGATGGTCAATTATTGTGTAATTATGTGTTTAAGCCAAAAATGGAAAATTCTTCCGGTCAGGAATGATTTCAGGATATTGATAAATTCGAAATTGATGAATTGAAATATTTTTTATGAAGATGGATTGCTGACGTTTGTTTTTCGAGGGATGTTTATCATATTGAAATTGAACTAAGTAGAACTTATTTAATAAGTAGATATGGATGGAAAATAAATTTCTTGACATTCAAGTTATTCAACATCAGCTCATAAATTCAACGACTTCAAATATCATTTTTCTCTTACCTTGAAATAAACAATCCGACAAACATCGACAATAAGCTCAGGAAGTTCAATAATTTTCTCCTTGCACTTTTCGAATGTACACGCCACTTCAAAGCACCTTGTTACATTTGATATGATCTGATAATGAAGCTCAGACGGCGTTGAATCAGCATTCATAATTGATACACATCGTGAATATGCTTCAAGTAAAGCTTCAAGTCCACTCTCACGACGTAGTTCTTCAGCATTTAGTGCTGAACAATGAACTGTGTGATAACAAAGTTCGGAAGCAGCATTTAACAAAGGAACAGATTTTGAAAACAACTGGTCATCTTTCGTTTCCATTTTAATTGTTGCTATAAGTTGTGAATATCCAGCATACTTGTAAGGTTTCAAATCTGCAGCATAACGATCAAAAAGAATACTTTGTGTCTTGAGAATAAGAAAAATGTTATTGGGATTCGGTCCATCAGTTGTCCATGACGTTCTCGAGCACAGAAACTCATATGCTTGATTAACACGCATAAAAATATCTTTCCCTTTAGGATTCTTATCAGGATGATACATCTGTGCAAGTCGATAATAACTTTTTCTTATCAAAGCTTCATCTGGCTGTGGATGTTTTTCCAAATCAATTCCAAGATTCTCGTAAGCTTGCTTCACTGTCATCTGGGGTGGTTTCTTTTCCACTTCTTTTCTCCAAGCATCTAATGTATGCTTCAAAAGCAACACTGGGTTTTGAATCGGCCAGTCAGGAAACTTTTGTGTGTCGCATAAATGTCGTAAATAGTAAATGTGACAAAACAATTCATTTTCAAGTTGTGGATAGCTGATGACGGGTATAGCTAAATATGGATATCGTGCCATTGTGTGACCTTTTAATCGTGGAATAAAATCACCAATATGAGCGGATATCTTCTCAATTAACATCCGTCGCATTTCCGAGTTCCAAATCACTTCCGGTGTATCAAATTCGCCGAGAAAGATTTCCGCAAACTTCTCAGCTGAATAATTCTCTAAGAAGCAAACCATTGCTTCGGGAAGCATTTGTCCAAGAATACTTCGATGCATGATGTCAGATGTGAATGTGTCGTCACTTCGGAAAGCTTGCTTCATGTGAGTCATCTTAAGGAACTTTACGATTGGCAGAATATTATTACCGGTGTACATGAGCATAAAATAGAAGACACCAGTGAGATAAACTTTCGTTATTTCGGGATTATCACTCATAATCTGACACAAAAGCGAAGCAACACGTTCCAATAGCCTTGGATCATGAGTTAAGCAGACTTGAACAATATGCGGAAGGCAAATGAACTCTGATAATCTTCTTGATATTCTAGGGCCAGGAATTAAAACAGCTTCACCATCACGAGCACGACTTGGAAAGAAACTCGTACATTTGACGAGAATATCGAGAATTTCTGCTGCAAGTTCAATCTCATTAAACAGCGGCGGACCTTTTGCCATCAAGCACCATTTAAGTTGTGGAATTTGTTGCAGTGATCGCCATCCATCCATTCCAATAGCCCACAATCTCGTTCTTGGTGTAATGACGCCTTTTCCGAATAAAACTTTTAAGTCAGAAAATGTCACTGGGCCACATCGTTCTGGCTTTTCATTTTCCTTCTCTTTCTCAATGTTGTAGTACCAGTCTTTCTCCTCGACAATCTTCATGTCACCAGCTTCGATAACATTAGTCTTCGTGTTAGGCACAACATTTCCTTTATGAAGATGCGACAATGTGATAAGATCTATAAGACAACTGATATGATCCAGTAATGGACGGCAGTTTGCCTTGTGAGATACGAGGCACTTGATGAAACCAATTAAAGCGTCTCGTAATGCTGGTGACAAGCATTTGTCGAGTAGAAGTAAGATGTAAGTGATATCACTAAAATATCCAATTTCTTCATGATATTTCTGAAAGACTTTGGCAAGAGCTTGAAGCGCAATGACCGTCATTTGATCATCATTAACACGATTTCTCGCTAGGACTTTCCTATAAATAGCATTGAAGACTTCCGTTGGATTCTTTATAAGATTATGAGGCCAATCTTCGTTCTCTAGTAAAAGTCGAATGTAAAAATCTCCGATTTTGATTTCATCAGCAAGGCAATTGTATTTCACTTCAAATTCTTCAAAATTCCATGCCACTAAAAGATTTCCTGATAAATCCTTGTCAGCTTGAAATTGACGTAATTCGTTTTCAAGTGCTGTACGAAGTTCTTCACGTGTTTTATGATTCCAAATGAGATTTGGCATGTTGTGATTTTTATGGAAGTTGTAGAAGAATAAAGGAAGGTTGAATACAATGTCAGCTTTCTTCTTTCTCTGTCGACGATTTCGTAAGACAACTGGACGATTCTGAAGTTTCTGTTGTTGTTGAGCTTTCTCCTGATCTAACAAAGCCATTCCCCAATGTTTAATTCCTTCTAAATGCTTCTCAATCAAATAATTTAATCGAATATTCTTTCCACTTGCATGTTGCGTTGCAAGCTTTAAATTATCTCGGAAATTCACTTTGTCAGATTCTTCATCTTCCTTCGGCACGGCATCTTTTGATTCGAGGAACGTCAACAAGCCAGCTGGAAATATTCTTGCAAACAATGACAAAGCATCGTCACTTTCATTCACCCATAAATTTATAAGATGTTTCGATATCTGACGATGTGTTGCCATTGTCGAGTCATTTGATGGCGTGTAAAGTGCAATTAAAAGATGACGACATAAAGCAGCTTCATCTAATGCTAACACTTGCATTTGCTTTGCAACATTTGCATCGCCTTCCTCAATCAACGCTTTCATTATTAAACCAGCGCCTTTCACAATAGCAAGTGATGGATGTTGATAAAGTTTGTAAATGTAACGACCACGCGATGCAACCATTTCAAGTAGAATATCAAATTGTTTACCTTCGGTTGTCTCCGAGTAAGGAACGCACAATCCAAAGGTAAGAAAATCTAACATTGACGAGAGAACGAGAGCGCCACTTCCCAATGAAATATGACTCACAAACATATCCAACAAACTCTCAAGAAATGATTTCGACATCAACAACGATGCTTTGTTCAATTGTTCTTGCTTCAAATCGTAATCGGAATGCATTGAATGCATCAATGAGTTTATCATGTCAATCGCTGCATAAGTCACAGCAAGGTCGTTTCTCTTTAAAGATTGAACGACTCGCGTTCCCATCGATTCTCGAAAGCCTGTGAGATTTGTAAATGCAGCAAAGCCAACTTTACTTGCTAATAATCGTCGGAGGACGTGAAAACTTGCTTCTAATTCAAGATTTGTTAATTGAGGTGCATTCGGATCAGAATCTTTAGCTGATAATGCTTGAAGGGCTGCTGATATTAAACGTTCCTTGTTCTCAGCGAAAAGTGTGTCTTGTGAAACAGAATAATTAAAGCCGCTGTAAGGAATGTTGGCATTGAAGCGGTCAAGCACTTCAGCACGTTTTACTGGATATTGATAGAAGTGAATAATGAAACGAAGAAGATTGGCTTCGGTTTCTTCATCGACTGATGTTTTTAATGGCACGACACGTTTGTTACGTTCAGAATTTGACGACTTCACATGCACGTCCATGTTTCCGGAACTTCTTACAGAGTCGAGAAGTGTTGCAAGAAGTGAATCTCGATCATTTGTTGTATAAGTACGAATATCGCCACTTTTATATTCAACACCAAACATTTGAATGTTGCTGCAACTACGAATGAGTGCAAAAATCTCTTTCAACGGACGAAGTGTGCAAATGTTGTAAGTTTGTGGATCACGTTCTAAAATCGTCGTTTCTGTCAGGCAAAGAATTCTTTTTGGTGCTTCCAAATGTCGCGGCGAAATCTTTTTCACAATAAATTCTGACAATGATGTTTGATGCATGTCACTTTGATATTCACCAAATCTTTCTTTCTCGAATTGATTCAAAGTGATTTGCGTTGGAAGAACTTTTAAGTCAATGCCAAGGAATTGATTACATTGTTGTACGATATTTTGAATAATCTCATGATGATTTAACGCCATAAATAAATGAAGACGACTATGACCGCCATAAGCGAGCACAATGCCACCTTCAACATCTTGAATACCTTAAAGGATGGTAAAAGGAAAGTTTTTAATACTTCGACAAGTTCTAGATGGTAATAAATTCAATACCTCCGACATTACCTATGATCCCATCAATGTTCTTGTAATTATAGCTTGCAAAAATCGTACCAGTTGTGGGATCAAGTTGGTCCAAGGAACATGGAGTGACTTCAAGTGTCACAGGAAACTTCACACCTGACCAATGATGCTTTCTGGCATTGAAACGTTGCCCTTGACGTGGACGTTCTGCAAATTCTTTATGAAATTTTAGTAAAGCAGTGAGAACATCGTTTTTGTACTCAGACGAGAAACGAATGGTGTCAATTTTCTTCTCTTTCTTCAAAGTGATGATGAACTCGTTGACATTCTGCAAATAATTTTTGTTGTTGTAATATTAAAGCTTATTTGTTAAATTAATTTATTACATTTCCGCTTTTGTTTGGAGCAGCGCTGATAACGTCAGAATAAGGCCATCGATTGGTCAAATCAAACTTATCGGGATTATAGGTGGAGATGCCGTGTGTACCGATTGTTAGGATTCTCTTGTATTTGCCTTTCCAAGCTGAATGTTTTGTCACCAGAAAACTTTCGAGTTCAACATTCTCGTGTATCTTGCCAGATGTGGCCATTATTTATCATTTCGTGGAGTTCTGTTTATAACATAAAAAAGAGAACAATAACAACAACAATTACATTATATTTTCTCTTCTTTTTCGGAAATCTGAGTCGAGTCTTTGTTGATTGGAAAATTATAAATCAAAAAACTTTCAATCGCTAATAAAAGTTATTGAATCCTTTGTTACAAAATAATCGAGAAATATTGTTTGATTTAAATTAGAACCGAAAACAAACTGATAATTTATAATTATGAATCATTTGTTGATTAAACTTTTTTTAATTAAAAAAAATTGAAAATTATTGAAATTATTGATTATAAGGAATTTCTAGTGATAGTCTCCTTATAGACGAGAGAATTGATTATATTCCCTATTATTATAACCTTTAAGTAACTCCCAAAGTCTTCTATTTCTTGAAGGAAATCAAATTATATTTTTTCAAAACACTACACAATTATTTTAATTGTTTGCATCAATTTATAAGATTTTGCGTCTTTCTTTTGGATCATTTTAAGCCAGAAAGGTTTTGGCGCGAAAAATTTGAAAAGTAATCATTAGCGCATGTTCAAAATATTTTAACGGTCATTCATTTCACTTTCATATATGAAAGAAATTTTTCTTTTGATGCTCTCATGAGATGTTCTTAAGAACGAATTATTATTAGAACGAGTATATCTACAGAAAAATTCAAATTTATTGTTTCAATTTTTCATCGTAGTTTTTGATTTATTATTAATTTTCGTCATTAATTTATTAGGTAATTTGAATGAAACATTCACAATCAGCTTACACCACCTGAATTGGATATTTACATTTATTTTTAACCACTTGCATCTATCTAATGAGTTAAATAAATATATGTCAACAGACGGTTTAGCACAATAAAATAAAACCAACAGGAACCATAAAGCTTTCATTTACTTTGTTATTTTTATTCAATGATTCGCTTGAACTTAAGAGAGTACGTAGCATGTTGTTTTTAAACATTTTCTCATGATTCTCTTCGTTTTCTTAGCTTTTATAAAATAATATTCGCAAACAAGATTCTCTTCAGTATTGAGCGCGACTTGTTGATAACCGGACGATAAAAAATAATGTTTCTGTGGTTCCAACCAGCGAATTAAACATTGTAGAGAAATTTAAATATATGTTTTATGAGTGACATTGATTAGAGTGTTGATGATAACTTAAAGCGTTCTGCCATATGAAATAATAATAAATAGAAATAGGATTAAAAAATTTCTATTCATCTCATTGTGAGTTACTTATAGGTAAGAACAATAAGTATGCTTATTATAGTAAACTCGATTATAGAGCAAAATCATGAAAGCCCCGACTAGTCAACCAGAAGCAGATTGCATGCTTCTGATAAGAGTGAAAAAGTGTTTCTATTTATCTTTAACATATTTGGGTTAAATCACAACAATGTGTTGTAATGATGCCTCGATGTAGTTGCTATCACGTGTAGAGCATAAAGATACGTTTTGAATTTATTTAAACTATTTTCTAAGCCAATTATTTCCTACACATTTTTCCTTAGAGAGCTGACATTATTTAAAGTATTTTAAAATTCTGTTGGCAGAAAGTTTCATTTAGATCATGAAAAATGTAAATTTCTTACATTACCTATTAGCTCAAAGTGTCATATTCATCAATAAAATTTTAATTCAGGGAAAAAATCTGAAAGTGATAAAACTGAGAAGAGAAGTGCAAAAATAATTAGCAGTTTTATAAGCGTGTGGATTCACAACATGAACTGCCAATGCGTTTGAAGATAAATGAGAAAAAGAACCTGTTTCAATCGAAAATAGAACACAATTGGAACGAAACGCATGCAAAGAAAGCAGAAGATTCTCTATTAACTACCAGCAGCAGCATCATCTGCAAATCAGTTTTACTTTTTATTGATGTTTCTTGTTCTGCTTCTCTTTCTTTGATGAAGCTGTTAAATTAGTCGTCACGGATTTTCCCAGCACTGTCTGCGCTTTTAGAAGTCATCTTAATTGACAACGACAAATAGTTGTTTGAAAAGTGAAATTCTTTCTTTGATGGTTTTATTGTGTGAAATTCTTTCTTTAAAAGCGATATAATGCTTCCTGCCGCAGAATATTTTGAATTCTGATACATCAATCAGCTGAAATTTGCTATTCCGTTACTTAACTTAAATGAATGAATTTCAAATCGTGCGATTTCTACTACTTATTGATTTATAAGTCAAAAAGAATTGATTGATATATCGCATTATTTGCCAAGTATCAATTAATTAAAATGCAAAACATGTTTTCATTAGAAGAAAGTTTCACGATCGTCAAATTAATAAAAAAGTCGAAACTGTAAATGGTTAATAAATATAATTCGACGCTTCTTTATATTGGTATTCATCTCAAGTTCAGAAAAAGATGACAAGATTAATAAAACATCAAAAATTTACTTCACAATGTCAAGGTCACGTTCTCTTTACCAGCGAAAAAATTCCGCTTGCGAATAATAATAAATCGTTGTAATGAAGTCCGATAATTCGGTCGCTTCTTCTTCTTCTGGCACACTTTGAACCACCTTGCGGCTATTTTATTGCTGCTTTCTCAGTATAGGCGATGTTATTAAAGTCACAAAATAAACACATCATTTACATCTCCAGATTAACGACGACATCTAAGAAAGTCAATTAATAAAAATCAAGTAACATCTTTAAGAAGTTTCACAAGTTCCTTGAAAGTCATAAAAAACAAGAATCAACTCAGTCGTGCTATCGATCATTGCTTAGCTTTCACTATTGCCTCTTATGGACAGGAAGAATGCTCAAGAATTTTAAATGAGAAATTGCAGATTGTTACAGAAAATTGAAAGAACCTGTTTGGAGTGAATTTAAGTACAAAACTACACGAAAAATGGAAGCATTCGATAACTGATACCTTCATTAAAAGCACCTCACAACTTGAATAATTTAATTGTCTTCAAGTTTTCACTCATTTCAATGATGTGTTCCTTTTTTGTGGCATTAAATATGTGACGATGTTTGACCGATAAGTCAAATAATTTTTGGGTCGAGATCCGAGCTACTTTTGTCTTCAACCACTTTTGACAGCAATAGCCGGTTTCGAATCTTCATAACTTTCAAATTGCCCTCTGTATCATTGAAACAACAACAACAAAACAATTGATAAATTACACAGCTTGTAACTATCGCGCGTCATTACTCACCTCTTGATGTTTTGTGATTGAAAATTAAGCTCGAATGAAAAATGAAATTTTTTACTGTTAAACTTTACAAATTAAGGACACATGGTCATAAAACATCTGATCTTGTTGGGTGCGGTATTCAAAATTTCATATAATTAACAGATTGACATCCTTTCAGATACATAAACATAAAAATGATCCCAATAACGTCTTGGTATATTTTAATTTTATTGATAATTTCACGAGCGATCACATCAGAAACGTCGAAAAATTTCAGCCCAAAAGCACCAAAGTCAAGTAGTGATGAGAAACTTCATTCTACAAATTCAGCGGCTGATCAACCACATTCAAGACAAAAGAGATTAATTTGGGTAGCTGATGATGGGAGATTAGCACTTCCGCCAGGAACAAGTCTGGTGATAGCACCAACGTTAGCGATGCCTTTCATTCGATATCCACCTGATGGATTTCATTCCAATATTTCCATTTCATTACCTTTAACAAGTAAGTCATTTTAACACCACAAATTAAATAAAACATTAAAAACTATTTAATAAAACATTTCAGTTGATTTTGATAAGTTGGGGTTGACTGACAATCAAAATCCTTTGGGAACTTTGGGCCCATTTTTTGGACGAAGTATGGGACGTTCAGCAGGTTCCATCTTAGCTGATTATGTTTATAAATTTTTGAAACATCGAACGAAGCGTGACATTGGAAATGATTTCATGAAGATCAATCAAATTGAAAATGAGATTCCGACGCTGCCTGATGAACATAAACACGCTTTTCATGGAGGCGAACGTGCACTTCTCTATGCAGTGCTTGAAGATTTTCTCAGTAATTTCGGTCTCGATGGTCACAACTGTTTATTGAGAGCGATTTGTGAAGTTCACTCAAAAAGCATTCATCGTTATGGATTGTTTGGTGAATTTTTAAAGCTTTTTTTCACGTAAGAATGACTGACAAATATTTTTTATTTAAACTTTAAATAATTTCATTTACTTCTAGAGCTTCTTTGTCACCATACTCAAAACTTCTTTCCGAATACGTTGAAGCTGAGAAAATGGGAAAGGAAGTGAGTGAATGTCTTCCGTACTACAAGCAATGTCCAAAAAGCATTTTTAAAAGTTCCAGCATCAGTTCAATGACGCGTAACAACGCTTTTACAATTAATTCTGCACATGAGTCAATGTAATAAAATAATTATTAATCGTTAATTAAAAATCTAAGTGGCCAAAATATTTGAAGGAAGAAAATAATTCTTGAAAAGTTATTCGACCTCAAAATTTTATTTTCAAGTTTTTTACTTAAATTTAAAAGTCAAATGAAAGCGGCTATCAGTCGTGTAAATGAAATTCAACTTGTTTTTTCGTTCAATGCAACATGTTTCGATTCTTTATTTGAATCCTTTTCAAGCAACTGTGGATAATAAATACATTAATTATATCTAGTGTAACAAATTAATAAAAGAATCTAACTTACTAACAACAAAGTTTCGTCCGGTTAACATAAAATATTTTTACATTTGTTGTTGTGTAAATGTCGCAGTTTGAGAGGCTAACATCGAATAAAAATTACATTTGAAACAAATTGCAACAGAATAGCATACATTATAATACCTAAAAAAAATTTTTTGAACCTCCTTTAGTATTTCTGAACGGACACGAGGATTTCTTAAAAAGTTTTTGCAAATTAAGTTTGTTTACATTTAATTAAATAAGGAAAAGTTGATTTAAGTTAGATTCTGTGATAAAATTGATAATATTAGGTATTATAATGTATGCTATTCTGTTGCAATTTGTTTCAAATGTAATTTTTATTCGATGTTAGCCTCTCAAACTGCGACATTTACACAACAACAAATGTAAAAATATTTTATGTTAACCGGACGAAACTTTGTTGTTAGTAAGTTAGATTCTTTTATTAATTTGTTACACTAGATATAATTAATGTATTTATTATCCACAGTTGCTTGAAAAGGATTCAAATAAAGAATCGAAACATGTTGCATTGAACGAAAAAACAAGTTGAATTTCATTTACACGACTGATAGCCGCTTTCATCTTACAATCATTAAATCCAGTCGAAATCCAAAAACATTTAATATTATCATGGCTGATTACAACTACTTTAATTATATCGAAACAAAATTTGGACAAAGAAACAAACTTATTCTGAAAAATATTTGTAACGTCCTGAGGAAACATTCGAATGCTCTCACGTCCAAAGAATTCCTAATAGCGTGTAGGAAGAATGTTGTGTTACCAAGCCACATTCGCAATAACCTTGAGAAATTTTCATCAAAAATTGCTACTTATGGTCCCTTCTCACAAAAATGGGCACGCAAAATAGAAAAGTTTGGAAGAGAGATTCTGAATCTCGAAATCGAGGAAAGCTTTCATCGCATAAGAACATACAACGAGGAGTTATCCAAATCATATGAAATGATTTATTCGAGTTTCCCAAGTGAAGTGTTTGTAGAATTCCTTAACACACAAATAGAACACAAAACAAAATCGATGGAGAAACTTCGAAATAAACATTTGAAAAAACTTGAAAATCTCATTATTAGATGCAGTTCAAGAACCTCTGAGAACCATGATTGGGTCTGCAATCTCACAAACGTTGACATTCCAAATAAAGTGAAAACATTTATGAGTTATGGTCCTAAATTTGCCATCCCACCTGAGAAGTCTGACATCCATTGGCCGAAGATAATCAGTGAAGTAGAGTCTATTACTAACGCAATAGAAGAAGATGACATCAGAGATGAATTAAGAATGGACGCTGTTAACATTCTTAAAAACTACAAAACAGCACCAAACAGTAAAGATGATTACCTCGTCACACATTTGAAACAAACATTCAAAGAGACACGATATTTCATGAAGGACAATAAGGATGACATAATGTTGATGAACGCAGACAAGGGAGGGAAAACAGTGGTGGTGTCAAAAGAAGAATACTTGACGCAAATGAATAAACTCCTAGAAGACAAATCCACGTACAAAAAAGTGAATTACGACCCCACAAAAAGAGTACAAAGAAAGAGCAACAGTTTACTCAAAGGTCTCCGCACTGATGGCTGCATCGATAAAAGAGAAAGAAGAAATTTATCTCGATACAACTCAGTGGCACCCAAGCTCTATGGTCTTCCAAAGATTCACAAGTTATCAACGACCGACAACAGCAATAGAGAGCTTGTAAAATTTCGACCTATTGTGTCCTGTATTGACAGCCCCTTGTCAAATTTGTCAAAATTCATGAGCATCATCTTATATAGCGCGATGGATCAAACGAAATACAACATAAAAAACTCTTACGAGCTCAAGGAACAACTTGAAGGAATAAGTATTCCAGACAACCACAAATTGGTATCGTTTGACGTAACCTCGTTGTTCACTTGCATCCCGTCGCAATTGGTTCTTAAGATCATCAAAAAACGATGGAGGAACATAAAAGAATACACAAACATCGGCAAAATTCGATTCTTGGAGATAATGGAACACATAATGAGCAGAAGTTTCTTTCAATTTGATGGGAACTTTTACTTACAACTTCTGGGATCGCCAATGGGTGATCCATGCTCACCAATTCAAGCTGACTTAGTCTTGGATGATCTCTTGGATTGGGCAGTTGCAAAATTAAATTTCAATATCCCCTTGATAAAGAAATATGTTGATGACTTGCTTCTCATTCTTCCAAACAACCAAATTGATAATGTTCTTCACACCTTCAACAGTTACAACAAACACATTAAATTCACGATAGAAGAAGAGAATGATGCTGGTGAATTACCGTACCTTGATATGCTATTACAACACGAAGCAAATGGAAACATCAAAACAAGTTGGTACCAAAAGCCACTAGCTTCGGGAAGATTGCTGAACTATCTTTCGTTTCATCCTCTACCGATGAAACTAAATACGGCAACGAACTTGATAAGGAAAATAACAACGCTATCAAATCACGGTTTCTGTAGAGAAAATCGAGAACTAGCAATGAAGATTCTCAAGGCGAATAACTACCCATCAGGCGTACGCAACAAATTATTCGCACAGCAGCAGCAGTTGGTACAAAACACTCAAATTAATGTCCAACCAAAACCAACTCACATTTACAGATCATTCACAAACATTCCAGTAGTGACAGCAAAATTACAGAAGATAATTCGAACCAAATTTCCATCGCTCAACATAAAAATTGTTCCTAGAAACATCAAAACTTCAAAAACATTCTTCACAAATCCGAAAGATAAAATTTGTCCTGAACAAGAGTCGCACATCATTTATGCAATAAACTGTTCGTGTGAAAAACTCTACATTGGCCTCACAACACAATACAAACACACGAGGAAAGCANGGCATAGAAACAAAGTTTTTACATCGTATAACTTCGTATAATGTATGCTATTCTGTTGCAATTTGTTTCAAATGTAATTTTTATTCGATGTTAGCCTCTCAAACTGCGACATTTACACAACAACAAATGTAAAAATATTTTATGTTAACCGGACGAAACTTTGTTGTTAGTAAGTTAGATTCTTTTATTAATTTGTTACACTAGATATAATTAATGTATTTATTATCCACAGTTGCTTGAAAAGGATTCAAATAAAGAATCGAAACATGTTGCATTGAACGAAAAAACAAGTTGAATTTCATTTACACGACTGATAGCCGCTTTCATCTTACAATCATTAAATCCAGTCGAAATCCAAAAACATTTAAAAGTCAAAATTTTCAAGGAGATAAAAAATTCTTTCATTCTCATTTATTAATCAATAACCAATTCTTATAAGAAATTCAAATAACAAACAATTAAAAGTAAACATCATTTCGTCGTTCTAAGACATCAACAGCTAACGTGATTGGCAACGACACAATTCCAACTTCTTTAAGCGCTTCTTTCATATTTTCCAGTTCTTCAGCGTTTGTCGTTTTATTTCCAGCTTTTAATGTCTGATGTAGCAGAAGAGCTGTGCCAAAAGGTAATGAAAGTAATGTACATGAGTCGTTGAGATTTTTAAAAAGCAATCCTGGTCTTCGACTGTATTGTCCAAAAAGTGGGACAAGATTTCGACTCACGTCATACTTAAATTGTCCTGCTCCACCTTCAGAGAATTTTGTGTTCATTATCATGCTGTCAATAAAATAATCATCAAGTTTCTTTGCAATTCGTCTCAATATTGAACTGAATATTGCTGTAGACAATGCAGTTTCAAGATCGTGAAGGACTGTTATAAGAAGTTGAAACATTTCACTCGATGATGGTGAAATGACAAAAGATTCGTTGGGATTTTGTTTCGGCATTGACACCCAATTATCATGTCTATAAGGCATTGACTTTGCTTTAATCTCATCGACAAGCTTCGATGATAAATGTTTAATTAATTTGTTCTGCCAATGATCAAGTTCATGAATTGACTTGTCAAACACCGAAGTGACTTCGTCAGCAGTTGGGCCTTGTAAAGCTGCATGCAAATGCAAATAATGAACATTTTCACCCCATTCTCGAAGTACACAAATAATGTAGTAAACAGCATTGAGAATGTTCAATGTATTGACAGTTGCTGTGTTGTAAAGTTGAACAAGTCGTCGTCTGAAGCCATCGATCAATTCTATTTGAAGTTCTAAGAACTGCAATTGATGACTTGGCTGTGGCAAAATGCAATATCTTTCCTTCATTGCTTCAAGAAGTCGCACAAATTGATCGGAACATTTAGGAATTTTTATTTCATCCAAATCAAGCTCTTCTTTAGCTTCGATTGTCAATGCAGTATGTGGCGATGTAATGTTTGTAAATCCAAAAGAATCAAGCATCGACCAAGGCATGTTTTCATCACTCAAAATTAAATCGATTTTATCAGATGTGAATTTCTCTTCAATACTTAACCATTTAGTAAAAAAGAAAGGCTGAGTTAAAACATTCACAGCACTGGGCAGTGTGTTTGGATATGAAAGTGTTGATTTCAAATCCTGTTCGAAAGAAAGAATTTCATCAATAAGATGAGCGAAAAGTTGTTCATCAAAGCTAATTTCTTCGATATCTTGGAGTAATTTCTCGATGGTCAATTGAACTAGGCCACGAATGAATTCCAGTCGAATGTTGTCACAAGCGCAAGCTCGATTTGCTGGTGCTTGAAATATTTCACTAACAAAATGATGATTGTCTTTCGCCCATGAGAGAATTTGTGTAAAATAATATTCAGGTTTATCTGGACGATTTGTTTGACGTGAACTCATGAAATGATATTCGAATCGAACTTGGAAAGGCTTCACAAGCAATTGAATTGGCGTACTTATTGGTGGACAAACAATTGAAGGCGACAATTTAACGTACATGAATCGATCATAACCAGGAAGTTGCACAAGGAATAAATACTCAGCTAATGTTTGGAGCTTATTTATAACTTCCTTTGTGGGATTGAAGGTTTCTTCAAGGAGATGGCCAAGATTAGGCCATTTGATAGTCTTGAGAATTGCCTCAAAGTCACTAGAAAGTCTATCTTTTATAACGTCGTACCAGTAAAGAGCCATACGCCTGGCATAAAGCTTCATATGCGGAGCATCGACATCCTTCAAACGTCCCATAACGCTGTCATTTGAATCAGGCGATCCCGAAAGTGACAGAAAAAAATTCACGATTTTCTGTTCATCTTTGGAATGTATGCAATTTGACAACTCAGAACTTATATCTTGGATATCTCTTAAAATGAAGAAATATTCAACAAGATGTTCCAAGTCGTTGATCTTTTGAAGATTAGTTGAAATGTTTTCGTGAATATTTTTGTATTTGTCAATGACTTTGCTGATTTTATTTTCGTAATAGTTTGCCTCCTCAAATGTCTCATTAACTAAATTCAGAACATTTTGCGATCCTTCAAGAGTCGCTTTAATGATAGTCGATGAATTTTGACTTGTTATTGTTAACTAGAATGAATAGTCAAAATGTAAACAAATAAAATATTTTTTAAATAAGTTTTACCTTTTCTTCTATTGCATTCAATTGATTCACACATTGTTCAACTAATGTTTTGCTTTTTGATATGTCTTCAAGATTGGAACCCAATTCTGCGTTCAATTCCTTTATTACTCTATTTTCCATCGTTTTTCTTCAAGGAAAATATATTTTCGAGAAGAATTCTTCTCCTTTCCGATGAATTAAGGTACTTACCCACATGCTATCTTAAAATGGCCCGCTTTTTGTTTATGATGTCTCGGGATAAATGCCTCGTGCCCCGACGGTTCGCGCGGATTTGACCTTCCATACAAAATGCACAAAAAAATGTGTCCGTGCACGAGATATTTCCGACCACGAGATTTCTGATGGAAGCGGAAAGAAGTTCGAAAAAGAAGCGAAACTTATTGGAACCGGTTCAAATTACTTTCATTCGTAGTTTTGCACCCATCTAACGATTGTAAACATTTCGAAAACAATCAAAAAATTATTTTCACATTTTTAATTCTCATTAAATAAGTAGTCAAATCTTTTAAAAGAATGGCTGATGATCTATCAAATTATAAGCTCCAACTTCAGCAAGTAGAAGTAGCATTGTTAACAGATGCAGAAAATGCAGAATTGCTAAAATTAAAAGATGACATCGGTAAAGCTACTTTTATATCTAACTAAATAAGGATAAAATATAAACAATTAATTATATTCTCTCATTTAGAACAACTGATTACACTTCAAAAGGAATTAATCAAAACACAAGAAGTAGAACAGCGTAAATATATTGAGCCTTCTAGTTCAGCAAATGCAGAGAGGACAGCTTACTACAAAGATCAGAAAATTAAAGCACCATTGAAAATATGGAAGGTTGGAGAGAAATGTATGGCTCGGGATGCCACAAATGGACAGTAAGTTCATATTAGTTCATCTCTTTTTGAAAAAATTTCTAAGGAATTATTTCTTTTATAGATTCTACGAAGCAACAATTGAAGCCATCACTGATGATGGTGATGTGAGTGTCATTTTCGATACATATCAAAACAAAGGACAGACCAATGTAAAAGATTTAAAAGAGTACAAAGTTCGTGTCGAAGTTTTTCCTCAGAATAGTAACAAAAGAGTGAGACCGAACCATAAAGAATATTTAAAGAAGAAGAAACTCAAGAAGCAACAACGATTAGCTGAGCTTGAAGAGGAGAGAGAAGTCGAGAAAAACAAATGGCTTCAATTCAATAGTAAAGCAAGTAAGAAACAATTGGTGAAAACGCAATCAATATTTCAAAGTCCTGACACAGTTTCGGGTCGAGTTGGAGTTGGAACTTGCGGTATAAGTGGAAAACAGATGACAAGTTTTCAGACAACTCGTGGAGATATTCATAAAAAGAAAAATTAAAAAGCTTTTATGATGTAATGTCTAGCTCATAATGGAAAATTCTACATAAATTTATCATAGGCAATAAAGAAAACTTTTCAAAATTTAAAGTTCATCTCACTGAAAATTCTTTTTGTTTCAGAAATTTAGAGGGTGAACTATTGAAACTGTTCATTTGATTCTAATTTGTAGATACCACACACACATTTAACGACTCTGAAAGGCCCTGAGGAGTTTTCTCATTCAGTCAAATAAAAAAAATCATTGAAATGTAACAAATATGTAGAAAAGTAAGAATGGAAGAGAAAAAAAGTTTTGAGTAAACATAAATCGACTTCCTTATGTGGAGTATTTTGTGGGGCATTAAGTAATAATGTAAAACCTCAAAGCTCGAGAGATTCGCCAAAGATGTAAGTAGATAAATAATGAAGAGGGTCCGATTTATTTCTACCCTAAAAGAGTGTTTGAAAAATTTAAAAAAGTTAACAAAGACGACCTCATGACTTAAAAACTTTTAGAAAATTAGATATGCAAAAAAATATTAATTTAAATTTCATAATTAAACCCACACGCGCATAAAATTTCATTTCTGAATGATATCTTGTTAAATATTGCCGATAAAAAAAGATAATTAATAAATAGAAGGCATTGAAGATGAGACCTTCCACCAAGTCTATTTTGCACCTGTTAACATGTTACATAAATCATAAAAAGCATTTTAGACTCTTGGTTTGTTTAGCTATGAATCGTGGAAAACGAAAACATCAAATAATAGATTTAAGGGGACGATAAATTATATTATCAAAATAGAAACATCACTTCAACCACGGGTGGTACGCTATAAAAAAATATTGAATGTGTTTTATGTTCATCGATCTAATTATTTCTATGATTGGATGTATTAACATGAAAGAGAAACATAAAAAAATATGAATGTGCACACATTTAAAATACAAAAACATAAATTTGCAATGTTCTTTATTCAAATTTCAAGTTTGAAGATTTTGTTGCCTGATATTTTATTAGATTTTCTGTTGACAGATATTTCACGTGCCACAGCAGTTTGTCTCGTCTTTGTTAATTCTGAAAATAATTTAATCTTTAGATAATTTTATCTTCTCGAGAAAATCCCACACAAAACGTGGGTAAAAAAAGGGAAAATATTTCAATTCCGACAAATTGTGCGTTTATTAGCGACACGTGCATGACACAACGATGAAGCTGTTGACTACAATGTTAATTCTACTTCAAAGTGTCAAAACATCAGCCTTTAAAAGAGGTTCTATATGATTAGGTTGTGGCTTGTAAAGTCAATGGAAAATTGCATATTCAAGATCACTTGACACATTTCCCTTCTGACATAATATTAAGCAGGGAGTGTGCATCTTTTCATCGATAGAATTATTAAGATTAAATATTCCACACGAGTGAACTTTCTACATTGAGATGATTAACGCACATTTCCTGCGAGTTCTATGAGTTGATTTACATAAGAAAGATGTTTAATTTGACCCTGGAATTCGCGAGCGAAATAAATGTGGAAATATTGTAAGGAAGATTTATAAAAATTACTAAATAGATTATTGATTTTATCAATTTTTTCGATATAAAAGTTTAGATATTTTCAATTTTATAAATATTGGCAATACTGTAGAAATCTCACGCCTGTTGATACTGACCGTAGTTAATCATTGTTACATAATTGTAACATAAAATGCTGCATGAAATCCTACACACTTTCATTTAAAAATTTAAAAAAACATCAAATAAATATTCTCATACATAGCTAGAAGCATAAGTGGGCGGTAACAATTTTTACTCACACCAAATCATTCTGATTTTAAAGTCTTCTTTTTCCGCCAATCCAGACATCAAATCAATAGAATTTGTAAGTGTTCGTTACACTCACACATTAAAATTACGGATGAAAAGCTCTCGCTATGGTAAAAGAAGAATTCAAAAAATATCTCGTCATGATTCAGTTCGTGTGTTGAGCGCTTCGGATGTAGTGCTGCAGAACGTATCACATTTGGAAATATTATACGTAAACGAAATTCATCAAACAAAACCATACTTTTTTTATTAAGAAATAAGCAATTGTTTAAATACAAGAATATCTGGCTATTTCTTGTTTTTTGAAAAATAAGTTATTTTGAAAAACATTATTTAAAGTATTATTCATACAAAGTTAGTTAATAAGTTGAAAAAAAATTGTGTATGCCAGTTAAAAAACTCGATAAGCAAAATATTATTCTGTGAAAGTGGAAGGCGAGATTTTAGCAATAATGAAGGTGAGTCTTAAGATCTACTGAAAAGATTTCCCACACATGAAAATGATTTCCAATTGAAACAAGAAGGAGTTAAAAGAATCACTTGATCGAAGAAATCGGAAAGCAAACCGGCAACACGCGGCCGCAATGCCTTTGAAATGTGTATACTGAAAAGCTGTTATTGAGATGTTAAGATCGCTGATAAGTACTTGGATGAATTTCTTTCGAGTAATTGCTTTCATTATTGAAGCTCAGATGTGATGAGAGCTGTTGAACTCCACGCAACTTTATGAATGGTAATGATGAAAAGAGGTTGTTTTTTGGATTTACAATGAATGAATGAAATAAAAGGCCAGGAACCGAACACTCGAGGATGCTCTAAGATCAAGAATTCTTTAAAAGTCTTACCATCGATGATGTCATCTTATTAAAGATTTAAAGATGGAGTGTGGTAGGGGTTGTTAGATATTTATAAACGAATGAAGTGATAGCTGATGGATTTTGATTACCATAAATTTCTGAGCATTCGTCTAATCAAAAGACGGCGTGCGCCGCCGATGACGTGATTGAAACAAATTTATGGTGTCAATCCAATCACATGGTGAATGGCGACAAGCTTTTATCCCGAATTCTGATTTATTGTGACAGTTTTATCGCTTAATGAAAAGGCAGCAAAGTTGCTAATTGATTATAAGACGATTTTCTTACACAATAAATTAAGTTTTTGTCTCCTGGTGGCAACGTCGGTACTCTTTAATGTCATTGAGCAATACCAATATAAAAGGGTGGGGCCTCCGTAAACCAAAATCTCTTTTAAATTATCAAAACACGACACATTAAATCATCTCCAAAGAAATCGCCCATAAATTAGAAATTATTTAATAATTGGACGTGTTGAACACAAAAGACCTTTGGTAGTAAAAATTTGTATCTGATCGAGCTTTAATCCTTTGAATTCGTCGTAGTTTTCATCGTAGTCGGTGAGAGATTAAACAAAATTTCCTTCTGATGAAAGAGATTAATGAGTTTATGTGATGAAACCAAATAAACACAAAATGAATGTAATTAAACAACTTTTTAACTTCATTCAACAATAAATCTTTTTCGATTTTAATTTATTGACTTTCATCTTTGTTAAATATTTTATTTTATTTTTTTTGCCAATCAATTGAACATAAAAATTCAAAATTCATATCGCCTTTTTTTAAAATGAAAGATTTTTTTGTCATTTTTAAATGTGCAAACGTTTCCTCCAAAAATGATATTCGCATGCAATAAAATTAATTTTTATTGAGGAAATTAGGACTCGTAATCAATCTTACTCTCACTTTTTAAGTGTTATTTATACATTCACATATTTCTTATTTTAAACGGTTACCAGTTAAGTGAAAGGTTACGACAGGTAAAGGATGTGTCATAATTAAAATAGCGAAAAAGCTTTTCATGTGGGCGAAGCAAGTTTACGTCTGACATTGCATAATCGAGTGATGAAGGAAAAAGTTCTGACATTTTCATTTATGTTTTCTCTTAAAATTTGAATTCTACCGATGATAAGGCTTCATCGTATCTTAATTTATTTAAATTCTTGCATTTCCTCGTCTGGATTGAATCTTATTTGTTCCGCACAGTGTTGCTTTCTATGATGCGGTGTTTTAAAATTGAAATCGGCTTTAAGAATACGATTCACATGGTGACGTTAAAATTATCTCAAAAACCTTTTTAACGATTATGTTTAAAATCGAATGCTTCACTTTATGACTCCATCAATTGTGTCACCGATCCGTTAGACGATCGAAAAATCTCATTTTGGTTTAACGGGCACTTTCGCTAGTTGGAGAAATTAAAGTGAGTGTCTCAAGACATTTACATAAGCATTTTACCGTAAATCGATGGAGTTTCGATGCTTTGGATGTGAACAATGAACATTTCTTTGTCTTATATTGAATTGTTAGACAAGCAACAATTGAACAGAAAAATCTCTTTCGCTTTTATTTGTTATGCTTCTTTTCACTGTTCAGTGTCCACTTTTAATCCCCTTCATCGTCGGCTAAAGCGCGAGAAATATTAATTGACCACTTCGATTCGAAGACAAAAGTTTTGAATCCCAAGGACTTCTGGTAGAAAAATAAATCGATAAAGCCGAGATCTCTTTTGTAGTGTTTTTTTTTCAAGTATCTTTCTTTTATCTCACGTCTTGTATTCGCTGTTTCTTAATAACAGTGTTGATCATTTGAAAAATGAGCGATTTGGGAAGTTGATAAATTCGATACCTTCTCGATTTTTATATCTTTTTTGTTGTTATTTTTTTCTTCTTTTAGTTGCATCATCAGCTCCTCTTCTACTTATGTTATTTTTTGATATTTTTGTTTTGTTTCTTGCAACACTACTGAATTCTATCAATTGGTGATCAAACAAACTCTTGAAAAGAAATAAAAATGTTGAAGATTTAAGAAAATATTTGGTCTTTGTGAGAATAAAATTATTCATAGATTTAGATGCAGAGAAGAAAATATTTATGATGTAACTTTACATTCAGATCTATTCTTGTAAAGGTTTAATATTTATCGAGAAATCACGAGACTTGTACATAATCACTTTCCTTCTTATTTTTCATGTCAAAGAATGTCAAAGAATTTCTTTCATGGGAAATTTAATTTTATCATCTTCCAAATCAAATTCTCGTATCTACCTAATAAATTTCATGACATTTTACTGTTTCAGAACCATCATGGCGCTTCATCTCAAGCCAATGTTTCCTGTTCACAAGATATTAAAAAGGCGAGAATCGTTTGACTTTTATTGGTGATGATTCTTGAGGGGTTTGCACATTAAATACATATCGGAAATTGTTTCCAATGATAAATGACAGCTTTTCTGGTTTCCCTAAATCGGTTCCGATCAATTGATCACACATGAACATTTCTCTTTTATTTTTTGTTCTTCCTTTAACAACAATCACCAGATACAATGACATTGAGCAGCAAAAATTTGCAACATCTGCTCATCTCGTTGTGATTGCTAATCTATTTTTTATTAACTTTTTCGTCCTTGTAACGGTACTTTATAATATTCACTATTGACAGAATGATAAATCGATTACTGCTTGGATAATATAACTGATCATACGTTTCATGATGTATTGCGAAGCCACTCATAATTTACACTTTAAGGTTTTTATTTTCTGTTTTCATTTAGAAATGAATGAGTGAAGCATGTAAAGAACTTCCTTTTGTGACCGAATGCAATTGCATTTAACAAAAATCGATCTTTAACGCATCGTGCCAAACTATTATTAGTTTATTTGAATCACATTTGAAAGTGGTTCTTACTCATTGCTGCTTTAGGCACATGGAGAACTGTCTGAATGAAGGACACTCATCTCGCACTCCCTGCTGTGGCCTTTTTATTATATTGTTGAGCCCTCGCTTGCCGAATACCTGAACATAACTCAACAGCTTCCCTTTGTTACTAAGTTAATAAATTTTTAAAAGTTTTTCTTTCTAAGATCGGTCATTGTGGTGACCAAGAAACAGAAAACGACACTATGTATGATTGTGCAAATGTTTGTTCAACTAGAAGTCGTGTTGAACTTTCGGTTCTTGAACAGAAAGGCAAAACCGAAGAGAATTTTTTAGAAAAATAGATTTACTGACGTAGAAATCACCTGGACAAGCTTCAGATGCAAATTTAGGATTACGTGACTGCGAGCGTTCTGAAAAGTTTGTTATCGTCAATTTGTTTACATACAAGTGATAAAAATACCGTACTTCGGTATATGTAATTATTTACTCAATTGTTTCTCTGTTTTGTTGAATAAATTCGACAAAATTTTATTTAAAAATAATTTATTATTGTTGTCAAAGAAGTGAGAACTGGTTTTATTTGAAAAAATATATTTCGTTGCTAATTGCACGATAAAATTCAAGTTTAAGTTCATTTTCTACAAATTTGCTATGCGCCGCCATTCGGAGATATTTGAATAAGGCTGAAATTCATTTTTATATTTTAACTAAAAATTATCTGCTCAATGTTTGTTTGATAAGTTGTTTAAAACAACATCACAATCTATCGATTCTCTCATTTCCGTATTATTTATTCTGTTGATGTCTTCATAAATAGCGATATAAAAAAAATACTCAAAATGATTTATTTCCATTTTCGAGAAATCTCTTTTTAATCAAACAGTTGGGCACTTTGTTAAGATGTTTCAATTTTACAATTTATTTCAACCACAAAACAGCTTAAAGGAAAACGAGAAATTGTTTACATTTCCCTCTTTCTAACGGTCCAAGCCGACACTTCAGGACGGCCCCTTATAAGCGATGTTTCCATAAATTATTCTGCGGATGAACGAAATGGTAACATCGGGAAAAAAAAGAAGGAAAGAAATTGTTAGACAAAAATAATTACCAACTATTAATCAACCCAAATTTTTTATTACCTCGCGGATGGATCTTCGAGTTTCACTCCACGACCTCATCGGCAGACACATGTTGATCTGCTGGGGCCTCGGCTTGTTTGTAAATTTATCATCTCTCATCTATCTACTGCTTGATATTCTAATTTTCTCATTAATCGATACAATATTGAAAAATGATTTTTGGCACAACTAAACATTGTGTTGTTGAATACTTTTTTGTAAAAGTTCACATGCAGCGTCTTTAACGAGATTGAAATTTATGGATTTCTTATCAGCGGGGCATTTGAATAAAGCCAGGATGGAAAGCAGATCATCTCGCATGACATGATGTTTCGAAATTGATCCGTTTTCGTTTAAAGTGATTACTTATACGGTGGGCAGTTGGTGTTGCGTAATTAATCATCGACTTGAATCATGTAGTTTTATTCAATTTCTACGGATGGATTTAGAATATCATAATTACTGAGTCGATGGATGAATGAGATTCTTTATTGAAATCAATGATGTTATGCATCGTAATAGAATTTTTGGAGTCTCTCGAGAAATTCTTCTGACTCGTCTTTCACCCGTTGGCAGTTTGTCAAGCATTGAAACTATTTTGTTATCATTGAGTGCTTTTTTTATAAGACTTTCGACTGATGATAAAACAACTAACAACTAAATATTTCCCACGATGATCTCCTCAAGCGCTTTTCAAGAAGTAAAACGGTGAAAAGTGATAAATCATCATTTTGGTTCGGTTTCTGGTGTTTAAGAGTTTTCTTCAAAATAAAATGTTAAGCGAGTTAACAGATTTAAGTTTTAAAGTCTACGCTTAACAATTTTTTTATATTTGCGTAGATATTCATGAAAAATTCTGCCGATAATTTATATCGATTAAGTCTTTTTCTTATTCATCTGTGAAAGTCCGAAAAGGCGATTGAAGGAAACACAAAAAAAAATAAAATAGAAAGAAATATGATGTAAAAAGGTCATTCGCAGCGGGATTTGGGGATGGAGAGAAAAAGCAAGTAAGAAAACCCGAAGAACGTAACAAATTTGATAAACAAAAAATATTCCGCTGATAAATTTGTATCGATTTATTAAAAGTTTAATCGCTTTTCGAAATGTTTTTAATTTCATGTCGATTCTCTTTTTTTTCGTCGACAAAGCTGAATGAAAATTATTAACGGAGGAAATAAGCTTTAATATGTGACGAATTGAATTGAGATGAACATTAAATACTCAGTGAATGACGACATTTTTATTTTGGCTGAGATTGTTTGTTTCAGGAAGTTTATTAAAATCCTTTTCATTATATTAATGGAAGACATAATCTTCAATTTCTTCCGAAACGCCAACATCAGAGTATTGAGATTAATATTTGAGCCATATTTAGATGATCTGAACCTTGAGTATATCGATAATGTTGTACATAACTTGAATTAAGCCACCCATGGTGAACGATAAACGATGAAATAATCCTTAAAGATTGTCGCGGCTGGCTTCTCTGTTTTTATTGCCCTTTGACTTGCCGTCTGTTCTCCAGAGAAGTCACATTAAAACGCAATAAAATTGTTGCGCAAACATGTTTGTCGATTGAAATCTCGTTAAACCAGCCAGTGACCGGCAGTTGAAGTGAGCGACTTGACGTTGAAAATAATCGTTGTAAGCCACCCAAAGATCTCACAACAATATGAAAATTTTCTTACAAGTCTTTACCTAATTAATTTCGTTTCAAGTTGTGAGTTATTTTTTAATTACCAATAAAAATAGAATTCATCAAGAATCGATGGAGAAATTTTACGACAATCCATAAAAACTTTTTTGACGTAGTTTACGAATCGCTTCCAGCGAGAAATAATTTTATCTCCCACACTTGTTTCACTTAAAGATAATCGGCTTTCATAAATAGTTTGCAACTCAAAACCTGCCTGGGAAGAATTTGCATCTGAAATTGAAACTCATTGAAGCCAAAAAGTAAAATATTGTTCGATTCCTAATGTCGTCTTAAGTCAACTAGAAAATTAAAACATTTTCCATTTCTTTTCAAGGATTTGTTACAAATAAAAATCTTTATAAGAATAGATGAAGATCTTTTGATTGAGACAAGAAGCTTAGAAGTGATTGTGACACCAAAAATTCGATTCTTTTACTCACCTCATGTCACACATTTGTTCAATGATAGTTTCAAGTGTCGGTGTTTAAAACCTTAAGCGGATAATCCTGCTTGCTTCTGTTTTGTTACAAATTTTCAATATGATTTCAAAGAAGTTTATCTGAGTAATCATCAAACAAAATTAAGACAGTTGCTTGGTTGGGTGTCAAATCTTTTTGTGTAAGGAATTTTTGGGATGGTAAAGTTCTTTCTTGTCATAACGATTTAATTAAAAATTCAAAAGTTCTTACGGAAATCGCAAAGGTTCAAGTGAATGACATGAATGAACGCCTTTCATATATCCAGTGTTATGAAATACAATCATTAGCATGTGAAAGCAAATGTCAAGCAGCAACAGCAGCATCTACCGAACTGTATTCATACAGAAAAGAACGGAAACTCGAAGTTGTTTGACATTGAAAAAAATTCTTTTATTTCTTGTGTGGCGTCAACTATGTTAATTTTGTCATATTCTTATACTTACCAGAATTGATTTTTCAAGACGCGTTTATTCACTTGTTGCTCCAAATTTCCCCCACAACTAATCTTTTATTCGACTTCGTAATCCGATTTACGGCAAGACAATAATAAAATGCGAGCTTTGTTTCGTTTCTTCTATTCAACATTTAGCTTCGCTATAAATTTTAAATGCCTCGACTCGATGTTATGTCGAAGTCTTTGAGTTCCATAAAGCAAACTTATTGAAATTAAAAAGCAATAAAGCGATTTCTTCTCAGAGATTTTTATGGTCGCTTCGATCGATCGATTTCCCTTGATAACAAATCTTTGACAATGTAAGAAGCGCTAAATGGTTTTTGGATAGAGGAAGACCATGAAAGTTCCAATAAATTCGAGTGATAAAATATGTTTAGAATAAAATGAATGTTTCTTAGGGTGAGCGACTCGATTCTTAATTGCTTTAGCAACTTCTTCTCGATCAGCAGTCAGCAGTCCAAGACTTAACATTCAAGTTTATCTTCTGCTTTATTGTGCTATAAAACAGATCTTTATTAACTATTTTTACTATTTTATCGAGTTGTTATCTCATCTATTTGATTTCTATTTTCTTTTAGATATAAATTTTTTTTATTCGAATCCAAATCAATAGAAATTTCCATTTACAGCATCACGCATGAGACAATCACAAAAGATTTCGATGAGTGGCAAGCGTTGGAAACAAAATGAGTCAATAACAGTCATTAGACACAAAAACAAAAAAAAAAGGAGAAGATTTATTTACTCGACTAGTTGGTTCTATTTTAATTTCTCAGGCAACATTTTTGCCGTCTAAAAATTATTGTCAGCATTTCCATCCATGAATATTCATGTCAATATAAACTATGAAATAAACATTAGGAGAAGAAGTTTGTTTGCGCTTTGGAAGGTGTAACGTTTTATAGTTGTTTTGCTTCCTACCTTCTTGGAATACTATTTTCATCATTCTTCTCATGGATTGATAATCAAGGTCTTCTAGGGTTTAATTCGATGCAATAAAAAATGTAAAGGCACTTGAATTACATCACTTGTTAGCGAGAGAAGAAACTGGAAGTTGGCCATCAAACCGCGAAAGCAATAAAATTTTCAAAACGATTAAACTCCGCTCTAACACATAAATCCTATAAATTATCCAACCATAATAAGATATCTAAATGAATTTAAATTGATGCAAATTTTTTTCTTTCGAAATGTTTATGATCAATTGAAAATCGACATGAAATATTGCGATGTGATGTTGGAAGCTGTTGCTAAAGTTTTTTTTAAGCGTCGAAATGAAATCTTAATTTATGAGTTCTTAGTTTTACTCGATATTTCTCTGCGTTTTCCGCTTCTAGGTATTTATTCGCTGTTATCTACTCAATTTACATAATATTTTTCATAATCAGAAATTACAAATATTAAGAATTGAGAACTATCAAAAGATTGTTACAATTTTAAATGAATTTCACGAGAAAAATATTCCCACAGTGGCATCTGACTCATTGCTGGCTTTCATGGATTGTCTGAATGAAACAAAAAACCTTCATAATACAATAATTTTCTTTTTACTTTCAATTTCGATTTGCTTCAATTCATGTCTGATATATCTCGGATTTGTAGACTTAGATATTTCTTTTATCTTTGAATATCTTTCTATTTATGAAAAGCTTTAAAATAAAAGAATTAAAAACGTGTTAAAAGTCTGTTTTCGTTCAATTGTGCTTTGATCTGTTTTCCTGCTCCAGTTACACCATTTTAAAGCGGCATATAACCCCATAAAATCATTTTTACTCTGTCGAATCTTTGATATGAGTTAAAATTTTGGTCATTTCATTTTCATGTTACGAGCAAAACTGTTTATTTGATAATGAGTAGCTTTATAATTACCACAAATTATTACTTTAATAATCTTAAAAATTGTTTTGCAATCTGAAAAATAAAAGAAATTGTCAAAGTTTGATATCAAAATCTTAAAATGTGACTTGACCTTTGAATGCTCTCAACCCTAACTTCTTATTAAAACTTTCTTATGTTCATTTATTACTGCAGTAGCTCGAATGCCAATTGTATGTTGCTTCGATGTTAAGTGTCGCCATTTTCTAGAAACGTTATTTATTCTTGTTTCGATGGGGTTTAACTTTGCTAACATGTTAACTGTTTATTTCAATATGCCACGCTAACCGAATGAATAAAACAAAAGGGGAAAGGAAAATACAGAAACATGATTTTAATAAATAATAAAACAACGGCAAGAAATGGTGCCTTGTCAATTGTAAATGTGTACACTTACGGTTGCAGATATCATTTATTGCTATTACTGTCCACAAACAAGCGGTAGAAATTTATTAATGTTTCCCTCTTTTTGTCGTTTGAATACCACTTAGGTCATGACGAATTGAAATTATGTTTTAAAGCGCACATTTTATAAGTTATTGAGTTAAAAATTGTCTTTTTATGTGTCCATAACTGACAAAGCAAATTTTCTATTCTTTTGCAGACAGAACTTCGGTCATGTACAGCGTGTGGTGATCCTATAGCCGACAGATATTTACTAGAAGTTGGAGGTTGCACATGGCATGGATCTTGCTTGCGATGTTGCGTTTGTCATTCACCACTCGATCGACAGCCTTCATGTTTCCTTCGAGAACGACAAGTTTACTGCAAAGCAGACTACGCTAAGTGAGTTCTGATTCAGCTTCTGATGTTTATGTTAATTTTAATACAATTTGAAGTTTCAACAACTGAAACTGAAGTTTCGTTATTTATACGAAAGAAAAGTTCACAAGAAAAATTTCATTCAATGAAGTTCCGAATATTCTTTTCCACAATTTGGGAGAAGTTCTCGACTCTTAAACAACAAATGGATTAATTTCCGACTTTGCAGGAAAGAAACACGAACCAAAAATGAAATAAATTGTTTCACTTGAGCTGAGAATTCGGGATGAAGTGAAATCTTTCCTCGTTTTTTCATTTGTGAATCTTCCATCTCGACATCGAATGAATTTTGTTATTATTCTTCTGCTTCGTAGTAGCTTCTGAATTAATTTCTGCACATAGGCACGTTGAAGTTAAGAAATAAATTACGAGAAATTCTGTGGAGTCTGCGAGCTTTCGATCCCTTACATGAGTAACTTTAAATTCATTTCTCTCTTGAGTTTTATTCTTAAAGACGAAAGAAGAAAACATTTTAATTGTTGCTGAAACATCTAAAAAACAAACAAGAAAAATCACAACAATTTAGGATAACAACGTCGCACGCAAAAAGTCAGAAAAAGCTGACGAAGAAGCAAACACAAAAAAGTTTCTTCTTGTGATGTTGATGTGAAAAAATAAATGCAATCGATGATCCGGTAGCTGCTTGGATGCAATAAAATCTGTCTGCAGTTCATGAGCAATCGATGATTTATCGCAATCATTATTAATTTAACTACTTTTCGCATCTCTCACGCTTTTTGATCTCAAATGCAAATGATTTCTACAAGTGTTAAGATGAATGAACGTAATACTTACTGGAAAGAATTCGAAAGTTATTTTAATACCGATCACGCAAAGTTGTGATACAGAAAATCCTCGTAACTTCGCTGGTGGCATTCCAGTGTGTCTTTATTGCATTTTTAAGTCTTAAGCGGAATTTATGTAAATTAAATGATTTAATTTTACTGCAAAACTATATAAACAGCGATATTCATAAATTCAATCGTTCGATTTGTTCCAAATAATTTATTGAAAATAAACAATAAAACTTCATTCATGAGTTTGATGAAATTTTATAAGAATTTTACTACACGACATTAAATATAAATGTTGAAACCTTTTTACAATTATTTCATGAAAAAAACAATCGTCAAAGGCAATCTAAAGTTTAGATTATTGAATACAGAATGATATCAACTTTGAACACGATTTCTGCTACTGATTGTCATTTCACATTTGTCGCGACAACATATTCAGATAATGAGATAACATGGTGCGATAAGTCATGTTGATATAAGAACAGCATGATGATCGTATATGGAAGAAGAGAAATAAAAATAATACACGAGCTGATGTTAAGTAAAACGGATGAGCAAAAAGGAGTTGAGAATAAATCTCCAAAGAAAATTGCTTCTAAAATCAAATATAATTGCTTACTTCGTTCTTCGTTGCCTTAAATAAATAATTCTTGAAGTATCTTGCGCACCACCGGATGAATGATACCGGTTTGCAGGAAAAGAAATTGTTATGAATCGAAGTTTCATGTACGAGTGGAGTGAAAAAACGTGTAAAGGTTTTCTTCGCGATATTTTTTGGTTGCACAAACATTAAATGCAAATTATTGAGGCGTGATTTCAACACTACACGAGATAGAGAGTCGAATATTGGTTTGTCCCAACAGGAATCAGCAGCAAACTGACATTATCTGACATGTGAACATGCACAAAACCAGTAATTTTTATTCGCTTATGTTCAATGTCTGTACCTGAGCCAAGTATAATGTGCCTTATGTAAACAATAATTTTCTGTTGATACGAACGAACATTATTGGAATTTCTATTTTCCACCATTTTGTTCAACAATAGATAACATTTGGAATAATTTCACATTTATATTTTTGCAAGCGTTCATCACATCTTTCATCGTATGAGAAAATCTTTTCCCATCATCAATTCATCATATCGAGAGAAGGAAAAAAAAATTCGAGTCATTTTAACAACTTAATTACCCAATATCGAATAACAAAAGATTTTCAAAATAGCTAGCGATTCATCTTGCTGATGACTAGAAGAAATAGTGAACAGCGAAACGATATTTCTTAGATCACTGTTCGATGTTAAAGCTCAGCAAAGTCTGAACGAAAAATAAAATAAAAATGTGTCATAATTTACCGAATTAATATTTTCCATTGGCCTTTTGTGTATTGAAATCATCATCCAAGCAACAATAAAAACAACTTTTTGAGAAAGTGTGAACAACGAAGCACCGACACGGGACATCAGATGAGATATGAATTTGGATGGCTAGGCTTTTGAGGATGAAAATCTTGATATTTTATGCTTAATGATTAAAATATGGGATGTTAAGACTCTTTATAAATAGTCAGCCTTTCAGAAAAGAAGCAGCAGAAAGAAACAAAAATTGAATCAATGATATTTCATTTCTTTCTTTACCTCATCTCCCGCCGTAAATGTTTCTAATATGCTAATTTATTTATGTTATTTTGTATATTTTCATAATTTATGCTTTATCAAGCTGACGTAGTGATGCTTCATTTCGAATTCGATCCATTCGCATTTTGTAATTTCATGGTTCCAATTCACACGACGAAGAGTCCCACAGATGATCGCCAACGTGCGACAATATAAAAGAATTTTCATTAAAGATTATCGCGATGACTTTTCTTACCTCATAATTTTTGCCTTAAAAATTAATTTAAAGAAGAATTTTTCTTTACTCTTTCCAGGAATTTTGGAGCGAAATGCTCGAAATGTTGTCGCGGAATAGCAGCGTCGGATTGGGTGAGACGAGCGAGGGAGCTCGTTTTTCATTTGGCTTGCTTTGCATGTGACCAATGCGGCCGACAACTATCAACAGGTGAACAATTTGCATTGTTGGATGATAGAGTTTTATGTAAATCACATTATATGGAGAATGTTGATGGTGGAACGACTTCAAGCGATGGTAGGCGATAACAAATATTTAATGTTTTGAATATTTATTTTTTTAACTAAATTAACGATTGTAATTCTAACAATAGATGGTTGCGAAGGCGATGGCTATCATAAAAATAAAGCTAAGCGAGTCAGAACAACGTTCACTGAAGAGCAACTTCAAGTGCTTCAAGCAAACTTTCAACTAGATAGCAATCCCGATGGGCAAGATCTTGAAAGAATCGCGTCAGTGACTGGATTAAGCAAGAGAGTTACACAAGTCTGGTTTCAGAATTCACGTGCACGACAGAAAAAACATATTCATGCTGGTAAAAGCAAACGTAGGTTTTTTCGTCGAGAAAAACCTATTTTCATTTCTTTTATTATTTTTTTCTTTCTTTTCAACAAATATTTTCCATTCGATTTTATTTCCTGTACTTCATATTTTTATTATTTTTCACTCGATCTCACTTGTAAAACTTCAAGCTTCTGTAATTACTCAAGACGTCGTCCGGTCCAATTTTTCCGAACTTCAGAGTTCATTAATCAATGTAGACATGATCTGAGATGTTTTGTTAATAAATTATGTTTTCTTTTTCATACTCTCGAACAGTTCCCAGCGAAAACGATCAGTTCAGTAGGCATATCAATTTACAATTAACGTACTCATTTCAACAAAATCCATCGCACACTTCATTGCAACAGCTCGGTGGTGGTGCAATTAACAACAATAACAACACGAGTCTCAACAACAATAACATAACATCAAAGACGAGTTTACTTTTTCACGGTAAGATGCGAAGATCTTCATGCATATTTGATGGAATTTCAAGACTAATGGATTCACCTCTACCCGCAGAGTCTTCAATGGATGAATTGTCAGAAGATTCGGCGATTCATTGCATGCAAAATGAAGTATGAAATTTGGCAATGGCGGCAGCATTCGTCGAGCGTTGTAGTAAAAATATTGACATCTCATAGATATTAAATTCGATATTTACGCGCTAGATCAACTTTAGGTCAGATCGTACTTTGATTATATTTATATCGTAAAAGTGGTTGAAATTGAACATTTTGTTGAAATTAATTATTCAATGTTTTAAAAATGAAAACCTTTTCTCATGAATGTAAATATTCTCACAAAACAAATGAAAGCCATTAATTGTAGAGTTAAGGTAAATATTTCACACCATTTCATTACTTCTTATCAGTTTGTTTTTATCTCAAAGAGTTATTTTAAGTATTTATTTTAAATTGAAGCTACAACGAAGACATTTCCCATTGAGATTATTTGTAAAGTGTAGCTAGTTAATAAAGATTCAATTGATAAAAATGTATTCATGTTGTAATGCGTGTTGTTTCTTCACCCTCATGAATAAATATCATTTCAACAAAGTTGCCCCCGAAAGCTGCTTCAGGCGAAATCTCAAATATCAATAAAGAAACATTTAATCCCTGGGTGAATGTACATATTGCAATTGGGTTAAATAAAGTGTTAAATGAAGAGATTAACAAGACTCAAGGGAATGAATATCAACAGTAAAACATAAAAATTTATTCCATTTCGAGTGAACATCACAAGACTGTTTCCTACAAAGTAATTATCAATCTTTAAAATCCTAAAGTTGAATATCTACATTAATATTAAAATTTAAAAATCACTCACTCTAAAAGTTTGGAAATAAAGATATGAGTGGATCTGACTTTTGTTTTGTAAAATGATTTATTTCAATTATGATCGCCCAGTGCACAGCTCAAGAAGAAGATCACAACAAACGTCTCTTTTAGGCACTCGATGATTGATTTCAATCTTAAAGAAACGCCAAAAGCCAAACAAACAATTTTTCTCTTCTTATTTCCTTTTGCTTGAACCTCTTTATTTATTTAAAATAGATTTTTCATTAATAACATTCCGATACTTACAAAACATTTTTTTGAGCAATGAGCAATGTGTTTGGTTGAAAAATTGACTTCGCGTTCACCTTTTGGCTTTGAAACGCTTCATAAATTATGCTCGAGTTATTCAATTTATTTACATTTTTTGAGGTTTAACATTATTTTGCCAAAGCGGACCAACAAAGATTTATGTTCACTATATGTAGTAAAAATTGTTATTTCTCAAGCTGCTGGCATGGAAAATTGGAGTTCGTGAGTTGAAAGTCTTTGAATCTCATGAACAAAAAACTTTGACACTTTTTCCTGTTCAAATAAACACATAAAATATCCTTTTTAACGTGATGTTTAATGATCAGATCGTAAATGTTTTTATGTTTCATCAATCAACATAAACCAACAATCATTAAACTGACCCCATAATAAAAAAAACAAAAGGATCGTTCGTTGGGTTAGACAAAAACTTCATAAATTTCACGTCCATAAACGCTCAATAAATTATCCTCGAATGGAAAATTTCTGTTGTTAAATTTTATCGAATTCTTTTGTGCTTGAAAACAAGAACAGCTTAAATATTGTTAAATAACAATTTTATTATGCCAGTTATAAAAACTTCAGCATTTCTGACTACTTCAGGTCTTAATAATTGAATAAGTCAAGCAATATTTACATTTACAATCCTAATTTCCTTGATCAAAGAAATAGTTTTAATCCCAAAACTTATTTCTCGTTTCATTAAAAATCTTTTTCGTTTCACTTTAAACATCTTTAAGATCATCATTCAGCGAATCAAATTTTAAACTTCCTTCATGTTGAGTTTTCATTTTTGTTTAAAGGTCATCAACTTATATCTGACAAATTGAAATGTTTGGAGAATTTTCATCGCTTGAATATATGCTTACAAGAGCAGAAAATATGTAATGAGAGCATTTTTACTGTTGGTTGATTTTGGGTCTTGTTTAAATGGCCGAGAAATTATGAACGAATGAAATTTAAGGTTTCCGGTCTCTTGATCATCAAATCATATTTGTCGTTGTTTGTTCCATCGAGTTTGTCATTCAAATACTCATGAAGTTCCACAAACAAGTATAAAAATGTGCTAAGTCGTAACAATTCTTCTGACAATAACTAAATAAAAATTCACTTCCCTCATCTTTACCTATTCAGATGTAAAAATCTTTTGATTTAATTTACTGTTGCCTCATTCATTGTCTTCTGAATTACAGAAGCATAAACATAGCGACATATTATTATCGAACGACAGCAAATTCACAATTCTGAACACGCGGGCACACGCATCAACAAAAGACAAAATGATTGAGTTATTCACGCTTCAATCACACCCTAAAGATTTAATAAATTTAACAGTGAACAGTCAGAGTACAACATTTCCACCCTCTACAACAAGGACATTGAGTTCAACAAAGGATAATAGAAGATAATCATATTAATAATAAGTCTTTATTGCAGCTTTAAAAGAGAATGAAGGGAAGTAAACTTAAACTAAATATTTGTACCATGAAAACATTACTTAAAACATCAAACAAGAGTTGGAAGTTGAACTTTGTAAATATCTAAGAAATTAAGCAGACGCCAAATTTTCTACCAATAAAATAAATTTTTTTCTTATCTTTCTTCTTTTTATTTGAAAACAATTCAAAAAGGAATCATCATCATCATTATGTTCATCTTACAAACGAAATAATATTAATGAGTACATCTTTATGCGCGTTTCTTTTAAATTTCACATTAAAGTTTTATAAACGTCACAAAAATTCTTTTTTTCTTTTCTTTCTGTTTCTTAAGTCTAAGCGGATTGATTTTAAGTAAGCTTAAAAGCATGAATTACATCCAAGGAATCGAGCTTGCTATTCATCGAGACGAAATCAAAGCCTCGTTTCACGCTGCTGCTGTTATAGAAGTTGCCATGCAAATATCTGGTGGTACGATTGGAAGAAGTGTTTGAACTGGCGATCTGTCGCAATCACGCGGATTTTTATGTTTCTTTTGTCGTGCTCGACAATTCTGAAACCAGACTTGTGTAACTCTCTTGCTTAATCCAGTCATGTTGGCGATTCTCTCAAGATCTTGACCATCGGGATTGCTATCAATTTGGAAATTTGCTTGTAGGATTTGTAATTGTTCTTCTGTGAAGGTCGTTCTGATGCGTTTCGATTTATTCTTATTAAAACCATCACAGTCATAACCATCTGTGAGATATTAATTAGCTAATCTATGTTTGAATGAATAAAGTAACAAATATTACCATCACTAGACGTCGTTGAACCATCAAGCTCGTAATAGTGACTTCTGCATAAAACTTGTTCATCAATCATTGCAAATTGTTCGCCGGTTGATAACTGTCGTCCACATTGGTCACACGAGAAACATGCGAGGTGAAACACTTGATCTTTTGCTCGTCTCACCCAATCAGTCGGCGCAATATTCCTACAACACTTCGCACATTTAGCTCCAAAGGTTCTGTAGAAAAATGAAATTGGAAATCATTAGATAATGACTTTTAATATTTATTTATAAAAAGTGTTATGCAATGTTAAACGAACAACAATGATAGATATTTCAACACTTCGTTCAAATAAAAAAGATCTGATGAATAAACGACTTTGATCTCTTAACTTTAGTCGTACATATTTCTGTTAAATAAACAATTATTTATTTTTCTATCGCATTTGGTGTTGTAAAAAATTGTTTTCAGTTCTTTAATGGTCAATGCTCAAAAAGAGTTCACAGGTAATTGAAAAATGTTTAATGATTAATTGAAATCATAAATTTTTGGATGAAAATTTTTAAAAGTCACGGAATGAATCATAAATTATAAAAGAATTTCAATTCAGTTTCCGCATATTTGTTGTACAAGTTAAAATAAATTTTAATCTTAAACTATTTGAAGTCATTGCTTATAAGTGAAGATATTTGAGACACGATTTTCCGAACGTTTCAGCGGCCAGAAGCCACTCTCGTGTTTTTTCAATTAATTATAGGTATTTGACATACTGCTGATGTGAACCTGTCCCAACATCCACCATCGACAATGAATCGTTAAAGTTTTTTCTCTAATCTTATGAAAATGAAACCTAAATATGAAGAGAAATAAAAACATTTCGAGAAATGATCCGTCAGATGATTTGCATTTTGTTGACTTTCAAATGATTTCTTTCTGAACTTAAGCTCTTTTGATCGATTATCAACGCAATTGTTACAGTTTGCGTTGGTTTTTAATGCTCTTTCGAGACGGAGATTTGTGTGAGCTTGTTGTCTTCAAAGAATGAATGAAAAACCATCTGAAGAATTCTTCCACTCTTCGTTTCGATTGATGTCATTGTTGGTGTTTATTTTCATTAAAAATAAAGGAAAAAGATATGTTCAAAGGTTTCGATAGGAATGCTGGAATGTAGTGATGTCGTTTCGTCTTTGTTTGACTTTCACACCCTGAAACCTCTCGTGATGATTCGTTTGTTACACTCAAGTCTATTGACAGAGGAAGGATCCACTTGTACATATTGTTATTAGTCTGATCCAACAAAAACCTCAAAAAGCATTTTTGATTTTTGTTTATGAAAAATTCAGTGACGATTTCCTGTGTTGTTGTTATTGTTTGCTTCAGATCAGATATTACCAGTTGTGACAATTTTTATATCATCATTATACATTAAAAATGATTCTGAACAATTTTTATCTTAATACACATTAATGTGTAACCATTTGGGCTTTAGAAGTTTGCCATTAATTTTATTACATAAGCTCGACTATTGGCAAGAAACTTCGCAAACAATTATCTTCACACTTGTTATCGCAATTCTTGTCTTGCGCGTGAAATTTTACAAATCGTGGATAGATAAAAGTCTTAGCCATAATAGAAACATCAGAATTAATTATAGCCTTTAGAAATATTCCTATGACTGCTTCAAGTAAATTTGCACGTTCAGCAAATCTCTTTTGAAAAAATATTATGAAGTCTGAAGAGAGCTGAGATCGTGGAACAGAATTGAATTGAAGGAAAAAGAGGCAAAAAGTAGTTAAATTAATAATGATTGCGATAAATCATCGATTGCTCATGAACTGCAGACAGATTTTATTGCATCCAAGCAGCTACCGGATCATCGATTGCATTTATTTTTTCACATCAACATCACAAGAAGAAACTTTTTTGTGTTTGCTTCTTCGTCAGCTTTTTCTGACTTTTTGCGTGCGACGTTGTTATCCTAAATTGTTGTGATTTTTCTTGTTTGTTTTTTAGATGTTTCAGCAACAATTAAAATGTTTTCTTCTTTCGTCTTTTAGAATGAAACTCAAGAGAGAAATGAATTAAAAGTTACTCATGTAAGGGATCGAAAGCTCGCAGACTCCACAGAATTTCTCGTAATTTATTTCTTAACTTCAACGTGCCTATGTGCAGAAATTAATTCAGAAGCTACTACGAAGTAGAAGAATAATAACAANTCGAGGAATGATCCGTCAGATGATTTGCATTTTGTTGACTTTCAAATGATTTCTTTCTGAACTTAAGCTCTTTTGATCGATTATCAACGCAATTGTTACAGTTTGCGTTGGTTTTTAATGCTCTTTCGAGACGGAGATTTGTGTGAGCTTGTTGTCTTCAAAGAATGAATGAAAAACCATCTGAAGAATTCTTCCACTCTTCGTTTCGATTGATGTCATTGTTGGTGTTTATTTTCATTAAAAATAAAGGAAAAAGATATGTTCAAAGGTTTCGATAGGAATGCTGGAATGTAGTGATGTCGTTTCGTCTTTGTTTGACTTTCACACCCTGAAACCTCTCGTGATGATTCGTTTGTTACACTCAAGTCTATTGACAGAGGAAGGATCCACTTGTACATATTGTTATTAGTCTGATCCAACAAAAACCTCAAAAAGCATTTTTGATTTTTGTTTATGAAAAATTCAGTGACGATTTCCTGTGTTGTTGTTATTGTTTGCTTCAGATCAAATATTACCAGTTGTGACAATTTTTATATCATCATTATACATTAAAAATGATTCTGAACAATTTTTATCTTAATACACATTAATGTGTAACCATTTGAGGCTTTAGAAGTTTGCCATTAATTTTATTACATAAGCTCGACTATTCGCAAGAAACTTCGCAAACAATTAGCTTCACACTTGTTATCGCAATTCTTGTCTTGCGCGTGAAATTTTACAAATCGTGGATAGATAAAA